CGATGGCATCAATAGCCTCAAGAAGGGTCTTGCCAGACTTGGAACCAGCCTTGGTTTCCTTGGTCCAGCCCTTGAACCAGGGCATGTTGGTGGACTCCTCCAACATGTTGTCACCGTGCCATCCGGAAATAGGGACGAAAGGAACGGACTTGGGGTTGAAACCGATCTTCTTGATGAAGGAGGAGACTTCCTTGACGATTTCATCGTAACGGTCACCAGACCACTTGGTGGTGTCCATCTTGTTGATGGCAACAATAAGTTGGCGGACACCGAGGGTGAAGGCAAGAAGAGCGTGCTCACGGGTTTGTCCATCCTTGGAGATACCGGCTTCGAATTCACCAGTACCAGCAGCAATGATAAGAACACCGCAATCAGCTTGGGAAGTACCAGTAATCATGTTCTTGATGAAATCACGATGTCCGGGAGCATCAATGACGGTGACTATACGCGGAAAGGACATACAATTTAGTATGAGCGTTCCTTGTGGGTGGCATGACGGCAAGTCACCTCAGATTTAAAATATAAAACTTACCGTGGTACTTGGGGGTCTCGAACTTCCAGAGGGCAATATCGATGGTGATACCACGTTCACGTTCAGCCTTAAGCTTGTCAAGAACCCAGGCGTACTTGAAGGAACCCTTACCGAGTTCAGCGGCTTCCTTCTCGAACTTTTCGATGGTACGCTTGTCAATACCACCGCACTTGTAGATAAGATGTCCGGTAGTGGTGGACTTTCCAGAATCGACGTGACCGATGACGACGACGTTAACGTGAGTCTTTTCCTTACCTAAGGAGATGTCAGTATAGGTGAAGTTTGGGCATTGAAAGCTGGAAAAAATACGTTACCCATGGTGACTAAAAAAGTTTTAAGAAGAGGAACAGATCTGTAAAGCGGAGGTGGGATGCTTTTTTTATATGCGTCGTACTCGCCGCCCAAAAAAAAAATTTTTTTTTTTTTTTGTCGTTTGGTCTTTCTCCTTGCCACAAAAGCAGTCACTAGCGCCAAACACATTTGAATGTTGTTGCACACACACTGATGCTGAAAGTTACTGGAGCCATAGCCAGACAGACATCAAAGCATGCCAATTTTTATGAAGTCAACCTAAGAAGCATTTCGTGTCTTTATTTGCATTTATTGCTCGATACGCTGGTTAAATTATGGTCTTTGAGTAAGCTACATCATCAATCTTTGGTCTTTCCTTATGCAATAGTGTAGCCGACATGGTGGAAAATACCACCAAATAAGATTCTTAGGCAGAAGAGCGGGCTCGCACTTTTCCACTAGCTGACATTCGAATTTTTTCCATCTTTGCCAAGTTAGTTGATACGATGCTCCACTCACAATGATTACTCTGCACTCTTTACTTTCGCTATCCGTTCCTTTTTCAAAGAAATTCATTTGCAAATGGCTGGCGACCATATTCGACAAGCACTTTTGGTCGTTATAGTGAATGGCAAGCCCTACTAGTTCGTACAAATCTTTAGAGTTTTCATGATCATTGCTGGCGCGCTATACATACACGGAATCAACGTGGTAACCATCTGCCTGGCGTGTTTGAGAATCGTATTTAGTTGGCATCAAGGTGCCTCTCCTTGCCGTGACGAAGTTTTCGCATCTCCATCAGTTGATGATGTCAAACGAAGCCATTTCCTATTCCTAGTCTTTCATCTTTTATTTTGCTCTGCCGATATTGACTTAGTGCTTCTGGTGTTTGGTAAAATGAGCAAAATCGGGGTTTTCATATCCCAGCTTGCAAGCTTGCTGATCGGAGCTAATTTCACCTTCAATGCTGACCGGAGAAACTGGTAATGAACAAGCGTAGTCCCTGGTTTGAGTTATCGTGCACGGAAAATATCCTATTTAAGTGTTCACTCCATCAATAGCAACTCAAGTTTAGTGAAAGATGACCGGTGTAGAGAGTTATAGATAGCTATTCGTCAAGTTAGGCTTTTTTGTGCCGTACAGATGTCAGCACGTCAAAAATTGACAAGCAGCCTTTTTGCATAAAATTGCCTTGTACCACTTACCGTATTTCATATCTGATATGCTATGAAGACTAATATTCAAAGATTACATGGTTCATTGACTACAGCTATCATAAACGGAGGTTTCCCAAGCGTACAGTGCACAGAAGCATTGATCGCGCAAGGAAACTGTACAACCCCAAGGTTGATTTGCGAATTTTATTGGACGGGCATATGAAACTCCGCGGAAAAGTGTCGTAACGACTGTTCAGCACAGAACCCCTGGTACCAAACGCTGGTTTATCCACATGGGCATTTCAACGTCTGATGTAAGTTCATTTGACGGCTTTAACAGAGTCTGCAAAATCTCCTATGTAATAGATTGGAAACGTTGACGTACTACCTCTCTTCTATTGTTGACATTGGGCATATCTGATTTACCCACTTTTTTTTTTTTTTCTTGTTCTGCCTACAGCCGTAATTCCTCACGAGCAAAAAGGACGATAACGATAAAGATACCACTACATCCTCACCCCTTCAAGTACATTACCACCCAGTTTTTTGTTCAACTCTTCTTCTCTTCTTTAATACGTTCTTAATCTGCTGAACTCTTTGTTTATTTTTCCCTTTTCCCCACTCTCTATTTTTCTTTTTGTCATCCGTAGCATTCCAACCTTAATCGCTCTACAAAACAACATCCAATGGCAAACCGTAATCAATTATCATCCGTGCAGCGATCGCTGATCAACCCTCCCACCTACATCGAATACAAAGGCGCTCGCTTTCTGATTGTCGATGCTCCTAGTAACAACAATTTACCACTGTACATAAAGGTAAAGTGTGACAAATCATAATGACGTCTTGGATGAAAGCGGTATATCCATGGTTTTTGGCAGGTACTAATTTGTTGTATTGTTTCCTTGCACTTAGGAGTTTGAACGCTGGAATGTGACCGACGTTGTTCGATGCTGCGAGCCAACTTATGCAAAGGAACCGCTGGAAGGGAAAGGGATCAAAGTTCACGACTGGGTTTACGGCGATGGAGAAGCACCACCCAATCACATCGTTGACGCATGGCTTGGATTAATTGAAAAGCGATTTGGTGGAGAAATCGGCAACCATGACAGTAATGAAAAGAACTCGACAAAGGATGGCCAGAAACCTCCGTGTATTGCGACTCATTGTGTCGCTGGGTTAGGCAGGTGCGTAAAAAGCTAATTATATTGTCTCCTTCTCAATTGTGAAGATGAAAAACCTTAAGGATATTAATACTCACATCGTCGTGTTCTTTTTTCTCTTCTCGCTATTCAATGCACGCATCGGATGGGCTACTGTTTATATTTATATTTCTATTTTTTCCACCACAGAGCACCTGTCTTGGTGGCGATTGCGTTGATTGAAGAAGGAATGTCGCCTTTGGATTCGGTTGTATATATACGAGAACGTCGCCGAGGGGCGATTAACAACAAGCAGCTCAAATATATTGAAAGCTATAAGAGACGATCCAAGGGCAAATGTATCATCTGCTGACTGGAACGGACTGTAGAGTTTGTACAACATGACATGGCCCCCCTTGAAGAGAGCTATCTTTGTTTTTCTCGTGGCGCACACAATCAGAAGTACCGCACAATAAAAATAGTAGTCCTGTCTTTGGTTGGGATTTTTTTTTTCTTTTTTATTTCTTTCAACACTGTATTCAGTTTCTTTTCCTTGTTCCTCACTCACTAATACCATGAAATCCTTCATCACTACCGCTGCTGCCGTTTGGTTGTCTTTGACTGTAAGGGTACACCACTTGAGCCTCCTTATGTCAAAAACCCCTTCAACTTATACAATCTGTTTTACAGTACGTGTCTGCTCAAATTACCTCCTCAACCGGTAACTTCAACGTTACAAATCCTGTTGAAAACCAAACCTATGTCACTGGTCAACAGCTCCCCATTACATGGCGTCTCCTTGGCACCAGTGATTTCTCATGTAAGTATTTTCCACCAACCCACCAACCATCCAAACTCCCCTCCCCTGAACGTTTCACCAATCATCATTAGCCCTTCAATTGGAAATTGTCCTCACCAACACGCTCTCGGGCAACTACAGCGAGACTGTCATCATGGCGCAAGCTGATGTGTCCGCCAGTAACCAGCAAACCGCCAATAATGTTACCTTTTACGAGCATTCACTCAACTACCCTATTCCTGCAACTGCTCCTCTCGGTAATTACAATGTAAGATTTTTGGGCGTTGTTGTTTAATGGGATGGCACCAGAACTGAAACTCGTCTTGCAGGTCATTTTCATGTCCAAGGATACCAGCACCAACACCACTGTTCCTATCCAAATCATTGCTCCTGCCGCAACATCCTCTTCTGTAGCCGCTCCTAGCAGCTCTGCAGGCGCTGCAGCTTCAGGAACTTTGACAGCTAGCTCCAGCAACCCATTCGCTTCCAAAGCTGACAAGGTTTCGCCAATCCAAATGGCTGGTTTCACTCTGGCCGCCATAGGTGCTGTTGCCGCCATCGTCTTTTAAAAAGGAACTCAACTTGTTTCCTCAATTTCTCATACACATGTATTTTTCTTCTCAGCTGAGCGAGCCATGCGATATTTTGCACCCCACCCCCATAACAGCATATCTTTTTTTTTTCTTGCCCTCTAATTATCTCGTTCTTCTTCTAAAAAGTAGCCATAGCTCGTTTTTACTTTTTACTCAATTGTATAATGTTGCGTGATAGGGTTTTTTACTTTTTCCTGATCAATTATTATTAAATCACACCTTCGAGCTTTCCAAGTTTAGCCTAGGCGGTGGACGAAAAACCTTGTTACAGACAGAAATATATGCATCGCCAAATGTCCCAATTTACCGACTTGACCAATCACAAGCTGATGCCCAACCTTAAGTAGACATTGATTATATTTTATTACAGTAGCTATGAATTGAAATTTACACTTGCAGCAGCCAGGGATGTGCAAGAACTTGATCAATGGTAGGTCGATCGTCTATACTTCTGTTCAGCATGTGTTGCATTAAATCCGCTGCACCTTGCCATCCAGCAGCAATTTGAAGCAATTTGGGTGGCTCTCTTGACATGGCTTGTTCGATATTATAGAACGGATTTTCCTTGAACACAAGCGTATACAGTAGTATGCCCAGACTCCAAATGTCCTGGGGTGGTCCAGCATACCGCGATCCACTGAGAATTTCAGGTGCAGCATAATCCAATGTTCCTGAAAAGGTTTCAAACATGCGGTCCGGTTTGACATACGCCGCACTACCAAAATCAATAAGCTGCACCTGGTCGTTGCCATCGATGATCACGTTCTCATCCTTGATATCTCTGTGTACGATCTTGTTGTGATGAAGATGCTGCACTGCCTCCGCCACCTGTCGGAAGATGGCGCGTACCTGATTTTGACTAATATCTCGGTTCAGTTCGATGTAATCAAAAAGATCCATGCCATCTCCGTGCAAACTCATAACAATATAGTAATGATCATCGTCCTCAAAATAGTCAACTAAGGCAAAGCAAGGCAAGGTCAAGCCAAAAGGTCAGTATTTTGGCTTTTTTCTAAATGGGTAAACGGACGACCGCTTTGGTGAACCCTTTTACTTACGTATTTGGCATATATTGGGGTGGGGTATCCGCCGCATGGTGTGTAAGATGTGAATTTCGAGAGGAAGCATCCCCAGCACTCGATCTCGTGTCCAAGCATCGACCAAGATGCGAGATTTGACAACGTATTTGATAACAACACGTTGTTGGTCCTTTTTCGTCTTATGCTGTGCGAGTTTGACCACGCCATAAGCTCCTTGTCCGAACGAATCAAGGGTGATATAATCGTCAATGCACGTTTTTAACGTTTGTGCAGAGTACTTGGGTATATTGGAGCCGCTGACATGCGGGGCCACCACCGCGGCGTAAGATATCCGCCGGGGAAGAAATTGGTTGACATCAATGCGGAGCGTTTGAACTTCTCGCACCACAGCTGGTTTAGGCGATAAGTTGTAGCTCATGTCCACTGGATCTTGTGCTTGGACAACTTTGTTGACTGCCGAACCAAAAGAACTGACATTACCCAGCGGTTTAGGCCGTTTTATTTGCTTGGGAGTAGGGTCGATATCGTATGGTTGTTCAAAGCCTACATGGCCTTTGGTGTGTTCGGGTTCTACTATAGGCAACGACTGCGCTCGTCGACTTCGATCGAATTCAATCCACAGTACAAGTTCGTTTTCAGCTGCAAGCTTGATTTGCATTTGAACATTCAGCATGGTGCTATCACGGTGAGTGGCAAGAAAGTAACCTTCGCAAGTTGATGAATGATCGAAATACGAGGCTGATGATGAATTATATTTTTGAAAAGTGGCGTAGCACACCGGGTGGCTCAACTTGTACCCCATACGTAGTAACTGTTGAGTTTGCAAGCCGATAAGCAAAACGCTGAACTGCGGCAAAAGCCGAGCAATGTTCTCGCCAAGAAGAGTATTCAGTTCGTAGCCAAAAAGATACTTGGTGAACATGGCGTTGCTACTTTGGATTGTGCCGTCCATCCGAATGGTAATGGGTCCGGCAATGGTGGGTACGGATATGATCTTCACGTTGTGAAGATCTGGGTTATAATATGATTCTTGTACTTTGGTCATGACCGGGAAGCTAGTGCTGGTGGCGGATTGGCTCCCAAAAAATTTTAGACAATTGATTTTGTCTACATCTAGCCGTCTACAATCCGATTTGACAAATAATTCTTGACGGGAGTCCGGTTCATCGGGTATCAAATCATAGAAGCCACTGTCACTGGCTAGCCGCATCTTTCCAAATCCATGGATCAATGTTTCGATGGACTTTCCAAAAAGTTGTGAGTCAGTGTATCCATATAGGTCCTCTACGTCGCCATCTACACGCTCAATGACACCCTACGAAGAAAATGAAAGGAGTAAAAAGAGGGTTAGTGAAAAGTGGGATGACACTGATCCATGCTTAGAGCAAATAGTGTCGATCGACCTACATTCGTATTGATGTGAACATTGATCATGCTTTCATAGAGCTCTTCAAATATCCACACGTAGATGATCTCAGATATGCCGTCGTGTTTTTCCTATTGGACATACGATACCATTTTTGAGCATACAAGGTTGAAGGTAAAAGAGTAGAACATCAAAACAGAATGACATACCTTGAGCCAGAGAGAGGCAACAGATTCTGTGCGATCTTTGGTTATAATTGGTACCTAAAAGAATAATCCCAAATAACTGGAATTAGTAAAATAAAATAAAAAAAAGGTGGGGAATGTTGGCTGACTTTCAAGATGATCATACCACTTTGCCACATAACAGGATGGTGGTCGATGGTTTTTCCACATTAACGGATTTAGAGGAATCTCGTTCTAAACGGGTATGTGCAAACTTGTCCAGCAAGTTTGCAAAGTACTTTGTTCTGAAGGCTTTCTCAAGCAAATCCAGGGCATGCATTTTGAGTAGCGTCGTTTTCGCTCCAAACAAGGAAACAGCGGTTTCATTGAAGGCTATGATTTTGCCTTGAACATCGGTTTGTAAGATAGCTTGATTTTGCGGTAAATATCGCCTAGATGTGGTTTGAGATAGCTTGCGAGCCAGCGGTGGCAAATGAAAATCTTCTTCGTGGCTGGTATCTTGCTTGGTATCCAGGGTGGTGGGTGCAGTCGATATTCTTCGTTTCACTTTCGGAGCCTTTTGATCTTCCGTCGATGTGAATGGATCGGATGTGTAGTATGAGTTTTGTGAATACGAGGACAGAGAATCAATGGAGGTTGACCGTGAGCCGGCTGGAATGTTGAAAACTAAGCCTGGCATATCATCGTCTCCGTCGGAGATACTGGACTGACGATGTGAAATCATGTCTGATAGGTCGGTGCTAGATTGAGGTGTTTTTCGTGAAGAACGCCATCTTTTCGCATTGGAAGCTTTCAGAGGCAGCTCAGAGAAATGCTGCTCAGTATGCAACGAGGAGGATTCCATGGCGGTCTCTATGTCTTTTTCTGGACCATAAAGCAAAATGGGATCAGGTCGATGGTCAGCATTCAAGCTTGGCGAAGGCTGATTCACAACCTTGACACTAGATGAATGGTGTAACGTTAGCTATAGGTGGAGAGAAGATAATGTGACAGATACTAAAAGCGATACTTACCGATTGTGGTAGTAGTCTGACATGTTTGTTTGAGCGCAGATGCCGACAATTGAAGGCTAAAAACGACAATAAAAAGAGATGTTAGACCATGCAACATTGCGTAGAATAATATTTTTTTGTTTGAGGAAGCGTGAGGGTGATTTGTTGTATTTGCCCATGTTGATGGCAAGAAAAAGATAACAATGATCATGGTTCCCAATTGATAAGAGCTATTCACACTATGATTGGCGCGATATACTCAGCAAACTTATATGTCGCGTGCGTCTCTAAAATTGGAGATGGAGAATTTTTTCCCTTCCCCAATGACTGGTACGTTTGTTGGTAACGTCTTTTCCGTAAAATGACTGTGTCTGCTGCGACCGAATCGAACACAATAAAATTTTGGCAGGGTTCCTTGGATTTGCCCCTCATTATTTTTTGAGTTTGCATCTCCGCGCTGATGAAAACCAATAGGACCATAAATATCTATAGTAGCAAAGTAATAATGAACTAACCCTAGCAGCAGTGCCTTGGTTCAAAGACAAGCGCGCGATTGGAGTTTTCGAATGGCAGATTCAAGGTGACCACAACAAGGATTACAAGAAAAAAAAGAGAAATGGAAAATGGGCACGAGAAGTGGAATGTGGATTGAGAAGAGAAAGAAGTTTTTTTTCTGGCCATGAGCAGTGAATAAAGTCGTCGTGTGAAGTCAGCGACAGAGGACCTCCAAAAAGGCAATGCACAAGCCAAGCAATAATAACAACTATGAACACCTCAGGCCAGACATCACCAACTTGTCATCAAATAATAAACGGAAGGTTTATGATTTATGTGGGCTACATTTTTATTTTTCGTTGTTTTTGCAATATACAGACAAAACATTACTGTAAGCTTGGAGTGGTACCGCGGAAGCTGTGAGCGCAAACCACATTTTTAAAAAAAAAATTGTGGCACCCAATTGAGTTGTCGGTGAAATCGAGACTAGAAACGTGCTCAAAGCGATGAATGCATGGCTTCCACCCTATTTATACGGGGGCTGTCAATTCATATTGGCTGTCGATTACTTAGGAGACCCCGAAACACTTCAATGTATGAGTTTCCTGCAGGGACAAAACGTCCGCTGACGCAAGGAAGGTGTAAAGTCACTGCTACGGAGAATGAACCTGCCCTCCCGCTCATCCCGCTTTTGTCAATGAACATTTTACCATAAAACTTACGGTCACGTCACCTGTTGAAGAGGCTTTCGTCAGTTAGGTAAATGGTCAAGGCGTATAGCATTGTTATCGCAGATCGCCCCTATCGATGGCACGTTGCAGGCTGCAGAAACCTTGCTGGCTTAGCCCAGCAGGATGATACTCGTCGCTGATTATTTGCAACAGGCATGGATCTGATACAAACAAGCAAACAAGTACCCGTGAACAGGAGCGTTGCGACTGAATTTGGAGAGCTTGGACCCCCATCGGGAGAAGTCAAGCTTGGCGCATCAAGACAGTTGCCAAGGAATAGCCTGGTACCAAAGATTGTTAACGTGTACCATACACTCTCACCTACACATTAAATATCCAAAAGAGCGTTCCACCATTTCAACATTGGTTCAAAGGGGTTATTTTTAACAACTCTATGATTTTTTATATTTGATATTTATGACGCTTCAGTGTCGTATTATACCTAAGGCAACTGAAGACCACAGCAACATTTGTTTTGGGGGTTTTTTTCCTCTTAGGTTTCGGCCAACAGCACCTAAAGCCATCCATTGATCATGTGACCACAGTGAGCTTGAGCCCCCGATGGTAACGTCCAGGACACAGCTCAACAGTCAAATTGTGACCCCGTCCTCCTTCTCCCAACGAATTCAATATGGCCCGCTTAGATTTTGAAGCTGCTAGCTTGGAACTTCAACAATATAGACAATCCGGCGAGAGAGCTTCTGAGAGAGTAGCTTATCTTGCATCACGTATTATTAAAGACGGATATTCAGCCAAACTCAAAGATGACAGTAAGAATCTATGACATTTCACATCATGCTCTTTTACGACGCTGATTCTCAACCTATTTCAGTATGGCCCTTTTATGAGCAAGCTGTTACTGCTGCACTTGATGTAGGCGACTTCAGATTGGCTGATGTATGTAGCATTTTCGAAACTTTGTCCAATGTTTAGCAGAGAACGCCGTCTTTAATCGAGCTTTTTAACAGGAATGCATAGAAAACCTCAAACGACGGTTCTCAAGCTCATCGCGTGTGCAAAGGCTCGTTGGTATGCGATATGAGGCTGAAGGAAAGCTAGCTGATGCTCAGAAGATATATGATGCGATCTTGGAAGAGGATGAATCTAACATTGTAGGTGTCGCGCGTTGCATACAGGCATGTCGAGGACTTGCGACTGACCCATCTTATTTTATGTTAGCTGGTGTCCAAGCGTCAGATAGCGCTATTGAAATTGCGTGGATTGAAGTCAGAGGCAATTTCAGCTTTGGTCACTTATCTGGACACGTATTATAGCGATGCCGAAGCGTGGATCGAACTTTGCTCACTTTACCTTTCCGTGCATGCGTATCAAAAGGCTGCTTATTGTTTGGAAGAGCTTATATTACTTCAAGCTGCCAATCCCATTTGGCATCTCAAGTATGCTGAGATCATGTACACCCTCGGAGACTACAGCTTAGCGTTGAAGCAATATTGCCGTGTCATTGATTTGCATGAAGATCACTTGCGAGCGATGTATGGTATCCAATTGGTATGTATTAACCACTATTTGTATCATGCCGTTGTTCATGACAAATAACCCTCTGTACATTGTCACAGTGTGCTAGCAAAATTTTGGACAACGGTGAAGCGGACGGCACAACTGAAGCATTGAAAGAGCTCGCCACTGAACGCATATTAGCAACTGAGGTTAATCAATGTACTATAGACAGCATCAAGCAAGTAGTAAGAGAATATTTGTCGGTTGCATAGGAGCGGGTATACAGCATCTCCTACATATATACACCAAGAAAAGCAAAAACGCAAGAAATTCGATTGACTTAATTGATTGCCTTGATGGTATACTATTGTATTATCCAAAAAAAAAAAAGTATTAATGACAAAAGAAGGAATTATTTTAAAATCGACCAGTGTAATTGTTAGCAATGAACATTAATGTACAAATCCAGAAACGTCTCTATCTAAATATCGTCAACTGCGCTGACGTTGGGATTGCAGCTCCAGACATGGCTAGTCTGCTAGCTTCAGTACCCTGCCGACAAATCACTACATCGACCTTACCAGGCGCATCATGTACAATTTGACGTGCCCACTTCATTTTACCGTGCATGCTTCCAGTTACGTCGGCAACACCGTTGATAGCATCCGATTGGCTGATTTCGTGAGTGATAGCAACCTCTTGGATGAGTTGAGCGTCTTTGTGGGATTTAGGGTCTTTGTCGAATACTCCATCGACATCGGTTAGAAATATGCACCGTGACGTGCGCAAGATAGATCTTGCAAGCTCTCTCATGACTACATCTCCTGACAAAATGGTACAGCTTTGTTTATCGTCCAATATAGCGTCACCGTGTAAAACTGGCACGTATCCTTGATCCAAGAGTGCCTGCGTTCTTCGACAGAGGTGCTCATAGCTCGTGGATGAGGATGCATCTATGCCGCCGTGGGTCATGACGTGATCGAAAGGCGACACAGAAACCACAGGGAGGCCAAGGTCAGTCAAGTCTTTGATGACTCTAGCATGGAGTTGCAGCACCGCCGCCCGAGTTAAGCATAGCCCTGCGCGCACATCTTTTGATTGGTTCTTCGAAGTTCCTTCCTTCACAGAATATTCCTTGGCTTGCGGGTGACCAAATGATCCAACGCCATGGATAAGTATTAACTTTTGTGACGACTGCTGGTAGGTGCTCAGCATTTGATGAAAGATGGAATCAAGATTACTTGGTGAAGCTAATGTACATGTTGATCGCTTGTCCGTGAGGATGGCCCCACCTAGTTTGATAATAAGCACACTATCTGTGATGCCGGACGTCGTCATTCACAATATTCAGGAACGAAGTCTGGGAAATTTTATCGAAACGGCTGGTTAGCGTACCTGACCGGTTGAAGCGGACATTTGGGCCGTCCGTTACGGTATCAATGAGTACCTTGCCCCATCCCGACGCCATACGATAGATCTGCAGCCGCGCGCTGTAGAAACGACCAGAGAGATATTACCCAAATGTATATGTTGTTGTATACATCATGTGTGTTATCTTAAGCCGTGTTCTCTATCATTCCTTTTTTTTTTTTTTTGACTGTGTGTTTGTATACAAATTTGAATCGCTGCAGCACGGTCATTTGGCCACAGTATGTGGTCTTTGTATTGACTTGGCGGTTATGAAGAATTAGTCACGGAAAGAAGAAAATAAAAAGAGTTTGTCGAGGTTCGCGCTTTGCCCATTTCTAGGCAGTGTTTTCCCTGGCTGAAAAAAGCAAGCACAACAATTGAAATTGGAAATTTTAGAATCGTCAAGCAAACGAACAGAGTGACGAACAGCAACCATTTCTGACGTAGAAAGACGTAGAAAGTCAAGGAAAATGTACAGTTCATGAGTGTATACAGTCCAACATGAAATATGTTGATAGTTAATGAACCAATGAGAAACAGTAGGATGCATTTCCATTGCTTTATGGTTGTGACCCGATTGCGCCTTTTCGGACCCACACACACAAACAATACGCAAAGATCGTTGCACCCCCGGGCGGTCATCAACAAACCACAAGTATATATTAAAGAGGATCATGGAAAAAAGATAACCTCTACCAATTTGATTTCCTCTTTCTTCTTCCATTTCTTCGAAGCGTAGCCGTTGAAATAGCACATTCTTTTTATTATCAAGTCGTGCTAGACATTCACACCAAGAAAATCACCAGTTGTACCCAACTGCACAAACAGAACAACGTATTTTGATACCCGCAATCCAATCGTTCGCGGTCATATCGAGTCAATTTCATTAAAGAGTTTTGAAAGAAGCACATACATCTTTTTCGAAATCACTTTATTGCAATCAACATGCATTCTATGATGGCAGCGGCAAGATTTGTCTTGCTTGAGTACCATCATCACACCAACGAAACAACAGTGTTGATCAACAGGAACGATCCGAATCGCGTTTCAACATCATTTCTTGTCACACTATTACTACCAATCCTGACCCTAGTATATCTGGAGCTCTCACGGGCAACCGTACCGACACCAATTGCAGTGAAGAAGTACCCTGAGGTCCACTATGCAGGTTATAACGGCGATGAAATCGCTATTGTTAAAACTGTCCAAGTTGCGCATGCTCCCTCGACTTGTACCAAAAAATTAATTTGGGTGGCAAGCGGGCCACATTTGGGATCACGACCAAAATTAAGTGACATATCCAAGCTCAAGATCATGTTTCCAGCAACCAACACTACCCCGCCACTTACTCGAGCCGTTCGGCGAACAAGCATGAGTCCAGTACGAGCGTCATTCGATCCGCCACTACCACCCCCTACAGATGCCCAGCTCCACGAAGAATGCTTAAGGAAGCTGGTGGAAGAGACTCTGACGTATGTTCAATCGAATCAGCCACGAACGGAAGCACTGCATCGCTTGATACCTAAATTGGAGCAATTTTCAGAATGGAATTCGGTACGCGCCATAAACGGCCAAACTTCCACAGCTTTGATTGAAGCACCCTTTTAACACACTTCTTTACCACGCACTCCACTCTTTGGGGCTAAACCATGCTTTTTTTGAATATATTATTTGTAAATTTTTTCGAATTCAGTGTAGCGAAAGGCTGACAAAGCAGCAGCACTTTCGCTGTTCCGATACTTTTGTACAGAACGAACATGAACCGTAGCCACGTGTAAGTTGACCATTTTCAATGTACTAGTTATCCAAATTGCCATGTAGACCATGGCATTGCATTACCAATAAGTCTATAAAAAAGAAGAAATTCTCTTTTTGTTATTTTTTTGGGTGATTCATGTGGATTAAGTCAGCCGAATTGGTTGACTGTCCATTTTCGTCAAGGGGTTTACAATTTGGTCTCGTAAGGATCTTTACTTATACTTCCCGAGCAAGCATCATGATATGAGTCATGGTTTTTTCTTCACATCACCTCCAGCATTGTCAGTCTTGTCTACATCTATGTGGTGACGCCTTACCACTTTTCGCCATGAGGTCGTTGAATCAACATATTACCAGTCCTCAGGTTGTAATACTTTCACCTCCGATCTGGTAGTAGCGAGAAAATCCGTCCAAGATCGGTGCCAATATATACGCTTCTTTACCTCATGCCTGCAGGCATGTGATCTAATCGAAAAGAGGGCAAATCATGGAAGCCGAACGTTGCACAATTGTAATGAACTCCAGATTACAGGAGTGTGGAGTAACGGCGCCGTGACCATAGCCTCTACTGAAAATAGATATATGAGTGACCTTAGTCTCTGCCTTGGAAATTTGATCTCCAAGATAAACATTTGAGCTAGGAAGATGACGAGCCATAATGGTCGTATTCCTCGCGCTCGAACAACGAATTGGCGGGCTGCGCAAAGACGGTGTTGCAATGTACCTGATAGGAGATTTGTCTTACAAAGATGATATGTCGGTGGGTGGCAGCCAAAGGGATGCTAAGCAAGGGAAGCTCGCTAAGGAAGTTGCTAATACTTTAAGCCAAGGTAATATAACATATCTTGTGTGATGAGCGACACAGCATGTGACAGCAATAACTTTTTTTTTTGTGTTTTTCCAGTTCGGTATGCTTCTGACATGTGAAGACGGTTCGTCAGTCGTCAATGTTTGAAAGTCCCCGCTTGTCGGAATTACGGGCGCACAAAGCGTATGGAGTCCAATATAAGCCTGCTCTTGTCTGACCTCTCTACAAAAAAATCCTCTTTCACCTTCTTAATGGATGACCACCAATGGGATCCATCTTATATCCAGCCTTCCAGTAAGTCGATCGCACGTCCATCCGTCAGCAATTCGTACCTAGAGTACCAACACCATGTTTGAAACAGATTATCAAGGATACACCATGAGGAGTCATCCACAGCATCCATATGTACCATCGCATTTTGATATGGAAGAGATGCATCGTCAGCAACATAGTTATCAAGGTAAAATTAAGATGATGGTGTTCAATGCTTTTTTTTTGACTGTCTGGCGGGTTAACGCGGCTAGCCAGCCAGCCAGTGGCAGCGCCCAGATTTCGGAATTTGGTTATTAATTTTTTTTCTTGCCCATCCACAATCATTTTTTCCTCTCTTTTGCTTTGGAACACGTTATCAGGTCCCACACCTGTGATGCTATCATCACCTTATTCTAAGAACGCTCAATTTGCTTCAGGACAACCACTAGATTCTACCATAATGTCTTCATCATCCGCCCCCAGTCAAGGATCCGCGGGTTCTTCTTCGATACAGGGCAGCACGAAGCGTGGCTCTGCGCATAGAGCGAACTCCAGTCCATATCGTCAACCTCCAAGTAGAGCAGCAAGGAAACAGCAACAACAAAGGAGTGAAAGCGATGATACAGATCAGTCACAGACACCGGCAAAACCTCGAACAGGTCGAAGCAAGAAGCCTGCTCATGAGCTGTTGACCGAAGCAGAAAAGAAGGCTAATCACATTGCCTCAGAGCAGAAGAGGCGTCAGAATATCAGGGTCGGCTTTGATCAGCTTGTTGAAATTGTTCCCACTTTGAGTCAAAGCCATCGCAGTGAAGCCATCATTCTACAGAAATGTAAGACTTTCATTTTGCTTGCAATCATGCCTTGCATGCCATGCCGAATACATCAGACCCCCCACTGATAACCTTTTCCTATCCTGCCTCTAGCTGTTGATCACATACATCGATTAGTCGCCACTAAGAATGAACTGAAGGACCGTGTTCGTGAACTGCAGTCGGTGTTAGGTGAACTGTAAGTCAGCTTCAGTTGATGCATCATGATGTGTGGGAAACTGCCTTTCGCTTTTCTAGTTCTGTGGTAACTCATCACACCCTTTTTTTTCTTTTTTCTTTCTATTCTCTTGCATTACGTTGCGTATAGCCCTCCGGAAGACGATGTAAGTAAAAGATCATCATTTTTTGAAGAAAGACATGTGTTTTATATCATCTCGTTCTAATCGTTTTTCTTTTGCCAGTCCTCTGAAGATGAAATCAACTATTCATACTAGGCCGCTCCTTACCACAGCTACTGCCATATCCTGCTTTTGAAACATATTCAATTCGTCCATCCTTCCCCCAAATCAACCATCTCCGTTCACGCTCTCCAATTTGCACGCTACAGAAGCTCTCATTCCCCCCACTCACACCTCATATACTTGTATATTGCTTCTTATCAACCCCACTGTAAGATACTTTCATGCGATAGAACTATCTGACGACATAAAATCTACGATTTGTTTTCGTTTTCAACTCAATGGCCGTCGGAGTGAATGTTTTGTGAGATGAGCTCTGCAGATTCTTGCCAATTAGGGGATTTCTCCGACAGAGGTCTCCCGTGTTCGTACATGGAAAAGAAAAGACGTATTTGACTAAGGGAGTATACAGTAGAAGATTGCTATAGAGCTGAGTAGTCAGCATGTTTCTTCAAGACCACTGCAAAGGTGCATTACCGGCTACACCAAGAAATTAGGTTCTGTGGGTATTGGTTGGTACATAAGGGTTTACGGCATGGCGCGCACTGCTGCATACACCTACACATATCTATCAGAGCAAACGCCATTCACTAGACCATCTGCCCTTTGATTAGTTTCAAAAAGGATATCATGCTGCATGCCTTGAATGACATTGTCAAAGCATGTAATATTTTTTTTTAATGCAGATGGTGTTAAGAGGCAAGTAAAAAGCCATTTTGTATCAATTTTACAAAGAAGGACTGAGAGAGGAGGATATCATGGTTATAGTACACAATTTTAAACACCATCCGATAAGAAACGTGTCATGGCTAATTGGCGGTTCTTGACATAACCTGAGAACGTACTTTTGGGAGTTCCAACAAAGTCGTTACCAGCACTGGCAATGGAAGCGTCAACCAATGGAATCAGTAATGAACTGATGTCGGTGCGGTTATCGCGTGGCGACTTGACGTTGATGGAGGGGATGATATCCGGAAAGTCAGAGAGAGTGAAAGCACAGACAAATTGATCAAACAAGGCCCGCATATTGGGATCTTCACGAGGGTGATGTGAGTCAGTTGCCATAAACAGCGTAGTGACTTTTCCACGTTGAAGCTGTAATTGGACGCATCGCTCAAGCAAAGTGGCAATAGACGAAGTCGATCTAGCAAGTTGAAGTTTTCGAAGTTCTTGCCAGGTGACACTGTCGGTTGTGTCGTTCTCCATATCAACTGCATCACTCAACTTGCTGACGATCTGGTCAATGGTGTCTACAATGTGTTCCTTGAACATGCCATCGCCGGATCGAATGTGTGCGCTAATGTACCGGCGCTCTCCACCCAACTGCGCTATCACTTTGTCAGCTCGTGAGTCCACCACCGGGTGTGTTATCTTAATGGACTGTTGCAAGTACTTCTTTGTCTCAGTATTTTCTGAATCCAATGCAAGCCGGTTGGATCCAAACAGAGAGTTGAATATTATCAACTTTTCCGATCGGCGCTGAAGCTCGATGAGGTCAAGTCGTCGTTCAAAGTTCTGCAACGGCTGATTGTCGTGCTCGGAATAGTATATGCGATAGGAATATCTTTGATAATCTGGGATCTCATACACCAGGGTTCGATTTGTTTCGTCATACGGGATGTTGAGGGGGGTTCCTTGGAAATAGGAATGGTGCATGTTGTTTCTCATTGAATAACGAACCCCAATATTCGTTAGCGGGCTGAGATCAAACGCATCATCGAAGCTAATAGGAATATATTTGCGGTAGTCAAAACATTCAGATGGCAAGTGGACGCGTTGGCCGAGTTCCTTCTCCATTTTACGATGGGCTGTGACTAGTTCTGGACAGGCATCTAGCTTATGCGGTAAATCGGAACTGTCCTTCCAAAAGGTTGCTGTGGCGATATTGGCTTCGGGTATGATGAGCGTTCTATTAAGTGATTTGGCTATCAAAGCTGCGTTGATAAGTGAGAGTCGTTGGTTGTGTAGGCCAGAATGTGGATAGAAAGTCATGAACTTCTCTTCATCCTTGGCAGGTATATTGTGATCGTCATAGACAACACTACCACCTTTCACCAGGTCTTTCTCAAGGCCAGCTTGTTTGGGAAGGGTGGGGTTACTGATGATACTTAACGAGATGAAAAGAGTACAAGCAGCTATTGTGGTGAAGAGCATCCACCGCTTGCACAGCTGAGGCGGCATTCTGTCTAGAGGAGTACAGAAAGAAAGGGAAAGGAATGGGAAATTTTTTTAATTGCGAGAAAAAGTCGTAATATTACCTAAATCTGTTAATTGTGTGATGTGTCACATTCGATTTAGGCTCAGAACCACCTGGGACCTTGTTCGCCGGGAATACATGAAGCATATTGATAATATATTTATTGCTCAAGCACTTTTCTAAAGTCATTATATACTTCGACCATCTCTCCAAACACATGCTCTCTAGAAATAAGCTTGGTCTATTTTATGCTTGGTGTTGCCCTTCGAATTCCTTCATATATGCAACCAGCGCATCAACACCATCTTCGCCCATGGCATTGTAGATAGAAGCCCGAATGCCACCTGTTGGTATCACCATTATTAGGATTTCTGAGTATAATCCACGTTCCATCATTCTTTTTTTGTACTTACCAACAGATCTATGTCCCTTGAGTTGAACCATGTTTCGTGCTTCAGCACCCTTCAAAAACTCGGCTTCCAAAGTCTCTGGGTAAATTCGGAAAGGGATGTTCATTCTGCTACGAGCTTCGGTGGCTACGGGAGCCTTGTATATCTTGCTGTTATCAATGACTTGATAAACCTTTCGTGCCTTTCGATCGTTGGCTTCGGTATAGGCTTCGACACCTCCCTTCTCCAGCATATGCTTGAACACAAGTCCTGACATGTAAATGGCAAAAGTGGGCGGTGTGTTATAGAGTGAGTCATTGTCGGCTAAAGTCTTGAAGTCCAGCAATTGAGGAGTCACCAAACCGGAAGCTGGGATTTCAGCAGCTGACTTGAGAGGGGTAAGAAGATCCTTGCGGATAATGACAATTGTAACACCAGAAGGACCAATGTTCTTTTGAGCGCCAGCATAGATGACACCAAACTTGGAAACATCGAAAGGACGAGAGAGGATGTTGGAGGACATGTCAGCGACCAAAGGCACGGAAGAATCAACATCAGGGATGGAGTTGAACTCGACGCCATGGACAGTTTCGTTGTCACAGTAGTAAACGTAGGCTGCGTCAGAGCCACTCAACTTCCACTCTGATTGTGGTGGCACAGAGGTGTAAGCACCCGTGGACTTCTTGGTGTTGAAGACAATGTTGACATTGGCACCCAAACGCTTGGCTTCCTCAGAAGCCTTTTGCGACCAAGAACCAGACACACAGTAATCGACAGGAGCATCAGGCTTGCCCTTAGCAGCCAACAAGTTATAAACTATGGCAGAGAATTGCGTGGTGCCTCCTCCTTGCATGAACAAAATTTCATAGTTATCAGGAATATTCAGCAATTTGGTGAGGTTTTGCTTTGCGTCGGCCAAAATTTTGCCAAAGGTCTTTCCTCTATGGGACAACTCCATAACAGACATTCCAGTGTTATCATAGTTGAGAAGTTCTGACTGAGCTGTTTGAAGGACTTCGATAGGGCTAAGGTAGGAATGAAAGAGCAATTGTCTTGTCAAGCAGGGAGCAACGGGTTGCAATGGGTTGAAAGATGGAATACATACATCTTGGCTGGACCGGCGCCAAAGTTCAAAACTTGATCGTGTGTAGGCATGGTTGAATAGAGGTGAGTTTACAAATACCGTTGGAGGCTGCAGATTGATTTTGAAGTTTTGTGACGGTTGATCTGGATCTGGTTTGGAAAAATCTCGAGTCGAAAGTTTTATGAAGGCAGGTTTCGTTTGGCCCTTCCTTTTTCTTTTATACCACGGGATACAATTGGCTAGGGTCAGTCAGGAACATGATTTGAGGGCAAAGTGAAATATACCATAGTCTATGACTGTATGAGAGTCATGTTGGTACAACAATGATGAGACTTGACTCTCCGCATAAGCCCTCATTACCGCCTATGCGACTCTCAACTGTCAGTCACAGAATGGTCAGATCAATATTATATAACTGAGCATTCTTTCCACCTCATAGAAAAATGAATGGCAGCGCTAATCCATAGTATGTCTAACGACGCTGGTATATTCATTACTTTTAATGGCATGCTGCGTTGCAATAAGCTGTCGTCATTTTTCACACAAAGTAAGGTGAGGAGATGTAAAGCAAAAAGAAAGTGACAGGACTAAATTAACTCTTATAAATGACACGATGGCTGTCCCGAATAAGTACTATCTATATCCGAAAGAGCATCATCCGATACTTGAGAATCAAGGCCAGGGAAAGAAACATAGTTTCGAGCAAAGTCTGAGTCAGTGGCATCTAACACAGGCGTCCTGGAGCGCTCACTGGTCGCTGAGGTGGGGGAAATTACCCGAACAAAGTCAATCATCATATTGGAGATGGCGGTCAGTGTTCGCAGAGGTGATAGGTATCGAGTTTGTTGCTTTGAATTTGGAAACATGGTAGTAAGGAGCGACGATGATTAGATAGGGTGTTTCGACTGGAATGGGTGGGTGAAGGATTGTGAAGGATTGACTTGAGGAAGGGAGGGATGAACGAATTGAATAGCCGGCGCTTTTGTATTATCTCCCATGACAACAGGTCAAAAAATAAATGGTCCGGTTCCTGATCAAAAGTGAAGTATTGCTGGAATGTCCTCTACTGATATGGGAAGGTTGAAAATAACGTCAACGAGAACAAAAGCATATTTCCCTTATTGAATATTCTTGTTCACGCAGAGCCAAGACAAAAGGGAGATAATTATACAAAAAAAAAACAAAAACGTGCTTTATTACTCTAGAGCAGCATGCAACAGAACGGACGGCCTCCCTTCCACTGCATATTTTCTTCAATTAAAACAGAAAAATCAATTTACATCCTTCCTTCGTAGAACTTGTCCAAGAAAGCAGTTGGGACAGGGGCGGCTTCTTCCTTGGCAAAGTAGCGCATGACGTGAGTTTCCTGCTTCCACAGGTTCAAAGTTTCCTGGTATTCGGTCTGTCCCTTGAACAGGAGAATGTCGCGAACGGAAAGGTCTTCTACGTAACGGTTCTTTTCAAATTCTTCGCGGATCTTAGCACGGACTGCCGATGATGGAATGTTGAGTTGATAAAGCGTCATGATCTCAGGAACCTATGGGAAGAAAAACGTCGAGGAGAATAAGAATTGGGCTCAAACGTGAGGTATGTGGTTGGGTGGGAAGTCTGTCTAGATGCAGTTTTTCATGGTGTTGCATTTATCCCAGATGTTGCCAATGCGTTACTTACAGATTTTTGCCATTGTCTGTAAAGAGACAATGCTCGAGATGTTGCTTCTGCTGGAGACTTTGACTTTGCTGTGGTGACGGCCAAGTGGGCAACGGCGTATGGCATGGACATGGTGCAATAAAAGGACAGCCAAATGTTCAACCTGCAAACAGCGCTGTGGGTGGTGTTTTTGACCAGCAAGCTCAAAGAGTGTGACGTCAAAAAATTTTTGTTCTGTGCTTGTCATAATTTGCAGGCTTATTTTATCTATGAGAGGCTATTCTTACAATATACACACTATATTATTTTCTGTCTTATTTATGAACCAAATGTAAGGATCTGCATTTAATTAAAATGACGTTAATAAATTGCTACGGCTGTGGAGACGCTCATGGTCTTGGAACATATTTCACCAAATCCTTACCTGAGTGACTACCCCCGCAGCAACGGTTTCACCGCCTTTTCGAAGCATTACTCGTCCAAGGTCCTTGTTATCCTTGAAAGTTTCGAGTGGTATTGGCCTATTATCTAGCTTGATCCTTACTGTCGCCGTTGAACCTTTGGAAAGATGCCTAGAAAGATGGTTCGTTAGATATGGCACCGATGACGAGAAACAGGGAGGGAGTGAAAAACATTGAATCTCACCTAGGATTTTTCTTAATTATCTCTCCAGTTGCCTTATCAATGGTCGCTATCAACTTCACAATCGATGCAGGTTCATTCAAGCTCTGGTGATGGAGAATGATAGGGAAACCTGACGTTATTGGCACCTTGATATCAAACACCACCAGTTGAGCAATGAAGGTCGATGTAACAGGTACTGGATGGGCTGGAGTACATAGTACGGTGCCGGAACTAAAAGGATAGAATGAGTACCCAAAGCGCTGAAAGAGTAGGATCATGTAACAGCATCACAACATACCTTAGTTGCATAATATCAAGACCAGTTAAAGTCATAAGGCAAGAATCGCCTGCCGCACCCCAAGTTGCTGTATCATCATTAACCTGCATGGCTGGAGAATTGAGTAGTTAGTTGCCTGCAGCAGATATAAAAGTAGTACCAATGAAACCTTACTTTTTATCACACCAATTTCTCCACCTGGAATAGCCACAACTTGCTCTCCAACTTGAACATGCCCAGCGTCAATTCTACCAGCCACGGACACACCACTAGAGCTTCCGATACCGCCTTTGAAAAAGTCTGACACGGCCATTCTGAAGGGCTTGTCAAGGAGTCGAACAGGCGGCTCAAATTGGTCTACAACGGATGAACATTAATAAGCCTTTTCCCCTATAAATTTGCTCTCAGTGCAGCCAGACTTACCAACACGCTCAACCAAGGTTTGGCCCTTGTACCAATCGTACAGCGGACATCCTTCTGTTTTCTTTACCAAGTTCTCGCCTGTTAGACCACTGACGGGCACAAAATGAAGTTTGCTCTTGCGGAAGCCAGCTTGAATAAGGAAAGTTCCAAGTTTTGCAGTAATCTCATCAAATCGAGGTTTCGACCATTCCATCTGTATTATGCCACATTATGATTAGCACCAAATGTCATGACTATACCATGGATACGCATTGAACAACATTACTTACAGCATCAAGTTTGTTCACTGCCACAATCATTTGTTGAACACCAAGACTTCTAACAAGTAGAGCGTGTTCCTTTGTTTGTCCATTGGCATCAAAGCCGGCCTCAAATTCACCAGTCGTTGCGTCGATAACCAGAATGGCCACATCAGCCTGTTGACTGAAGGTTAGCGTCTTATACCTGCAAAATTTCGAATGTATTGGAAAGCCACATACCTGGGCGGCGCCGGAAATCATATTGGGAATAAAATCTCTGTGTCCCGGTGCATCCAACAATGTGAACTGTTTACTTGTGGTTTCAAAACTGTTTGTAGCAATATCCATAGTGATGCCACTTTTTTTTTTTTTTTTTAAGAAAAAAAAAAGATTGCTAAGTTACTGTAGCTTTCAATTAGCATTCAACACAAAGGTCATTCGCTTACCGAATACGCTCTTCACCGGTTTCATCAAGAACCCATGCATACGCAAAGGAAGATTTGCCAATTTTTTGCGCTTCACGTTCGTATTTTCGTATGGTTTTCTCGCTAACTTGACCCAAAGCGTAAAGGAAGTGGCCCATCAAGGTTGATTTTCCAGCGTCAACATGGCCTGTAGGTACATATGTGAGTAATGCAAGATCCACTTTAAACTGATTTATCGCCAACGCCCATACCTATCACAACCATGTTCAATTTGGCCTTGTCTGATGTACGTTTTGCGTATTCCGCTTCAACATCAACCCGTTTCGATGGGGGGATTTTGGCTAATGGTGTAACTTTAGGTGACGATGGCTGCGAACTCACAGGCGTTGATGCGATAGACGACACCTTCTTTGGCTTTGCTGTAGCGATCTTTAGTTTCTTTTCTCCCAGATTCAAAGCCGCCATATCAAAGTCCATTTGATTATCATCGTCATCCTCCAAGAACTCTACATCTTCATCTGTGGACTTGCCTTGTCCACTGGTCACCTTTGCATGCTGCTGGGATGGTTGTTTGCTCATAGATGTTGATTGTGCGGCTTTAGAGGCAGACTTGGTCTGATTGGCTGTATATGCGGAAGAGAGGAAATGTTTTATTAGTAACCAGCAGCAGTTGCCAAATGAAGGTGAAGTAAAAAATGTTGAGATAGAAGGATTGGTAAAGCAGAGGGGGAAAAGGTGGGAATATGTGAGAGGGAATAGGCTGGTAAAGAGCAATTTTCAAATGTGTGGAAATTAAGCTGAATAGCCTAAGTGGATCCCTTGGTGAGTACTCCTTTTCGTCGAGATTGTGCGTTGCGAACTGTGTCATCCGGGCTCGGTGCATCAAACTTGAAGGCTCTCACATTTTTGCTGGATGGCATGATGTTCTGGTAAATGGTTGCGTTCAACGACTTCGATGCCGTCGAGATATTTAATTGAGACATTTCCAGTCTCTCAAAATTAGACTTCAACGGAGTAAAGAGAAATTCGGCCACTGAAGAGGGTGGTGCACATAATGGATGGTCAAGGTAACCAAAAGTCAATTTTTCTTTGTTGTCTTTTGGAATCTCATTTGACGTTTGAACAGGGTTCGGGGAGCGATGGAACTGCTTGTCATTTTCCGCCATGGTTGATGGTATATTTTTATCCTCAGCACTGATATTACTTGATCGCTGTGGTGTTGTTGCAGTCGGAGGTGGCTTTTCTATGCCATGATCAGTGGTTTCGGATGATGGTAAGGCACTGGCTGCTGAAAATGATGGGCTTTTTCGAGATGTGGCCAAGGCAGCTAAACCTTTCATGGCAGGCTTAGTTTGGTGCTTCAGAGCCAGTTTCGCCAGTGCACTTGTAGAGCTAGCTACATCAGCATCATTGGAGACTTTTGGTAAAATGCTTTTTGATTCTTGGCCACCGCCAGCTTGAGAGCGGGATGCTAATCGCTGAAGTGATGATGACCCACTTTTCGCTTTAGACTGCTGGGCAAGCGCCGACAATGCACTTGGTCGTGCACCAGGCCGTGTGTTCGCCAACGAAGATAGCTTTCCTGGAGTACTTGAATTTTCTCCAGTCTTCAAATTTGTCCCTTCAGCCGCCACGCTTGTCTTTGAGGGTGATAAACTATCTGCTTTCTGGCTAGCCATTTTCATTCTCAGATTCGACAAGCTTGATCCGGTCCCCCGTGTTTGCCGCATCCGCGTGGAAGTTTGTCCATTGTTACTGAGTAATGATACAGGTCGATCAGTGGGTGGTGTTATGGGTCGGCCATTGCATTTTTGGTTGTCTGGTAAGGCAGTAAGAGCCGCCAATCGTCGTCGTCGTATCATTCGGTTGATATCACCATCTACAATGTTTGCGGTGAGAGGACGTTGACATAGGTGAGGAAAACACGCTGAGGTTTTTGTGCATTATATGTTGAACTATCTTATGAAAGCTGTTTCGAATATTTCACACTAATCACACCAGTCGTATAACTGGCAGAATGATGCCAGAGAAAGGGAAGTAGGGAATGGTAGGGGGAGGGACTAAAAAGAAAGACAGTGTAAAAGAAACCATTGTGCATACCTTTTGATGCTGCGGCTTTCGATGCTTCTTTAGCCTGCGCGCTCTTTTGCTTTGCAATTGTATCTAGAACATATCGATCTGTAAGCCGATTTATGCAAATAAAAAACAAGACCAACAACCCAGTATACCTAGTAAGAAGTTCACAGATTCTTCCTGGTCAAAATAATAGTACCATAGTGTCTCTTGAATGGTTTGTAGGGATATCGATGTGTCGTCGCCGATGACACTATAAATATGGGCCACACCTTCATCCATGGCAGTACGGTCTTCCTCAGACATTTCACTGAGATCCATCCCTGCCGAAATCGTCTGGATTAGCAAAAGCTAACCTCTGATTTTCGCTACTGCGAATGACGTTACTTACCACCACCCTCGGCCTGATCGTATACTTCCTCGTCAGAATAGTCGTCTTCGGCGAGAACATCTGTGTAGCGACAACCATTAGACATCTTGAGTGAAAGCAACGTGTACATTGTGCTGAGTGCAAACCCTTACCATCTATGTCTAGATTTCTAACATTACGATGTCTTGACATTTTTCTATTACAAGTAAAAACAAGAGTTGATACCGAAATTGATCGATTACGCTTTCGTGTTTGACTGACTGCGGAGTTTTACTCTTTTTTTTTGGCTGTACGTTCTCACTTCAAATGCTTGCGGAAGATTGCGTAAGACGTGGAGTGTCGCTAGTTATATAAACGCCCTACATCGTTTCGGATTCACTCAATCGCATTTGCAATGTCTGAAGCTGGAAAGAAAGCTTTGATTCTAGGAGCTACTGGTATGCTCCTTCACTAGTATATAGTTTGTTCTAAATGACATATTTACAATTTTCTGCGAACAGGCGCTGTGGGAAAAACTCTACTCCGTGAAGTGTTATTAGCGGACACCTACAAGAGCGTCACCACCATTGGAAGACGCGAAGTCAAGCTGGACGATTCGATACCGCAAAGTAAGCTGGTATGTCCGCTATGTTGATCTGGAAAATGATGCCCAAACCATCATTAAGTTTTCCTTATTAGGTTCAGAAAACTGTCGACTTTGACAACTTGGAAGCCAGTCGCAAAGAAATGAAAGGATACGAGTAAGTTTAAATAGATGGTTACGCTCACACGATAAACCATTGAAAAAGTGTCCAACTCGTCCTAGGGACGTGTTCTGCTGCCTTGGCACCACAAGGGCTGATGCTGGTAGTGCTGAAGCCTTCAAAAAGATTGATCACGACTACGTTGTTAATTCTGCCAAGATCATTGCCGAAGAAAATCCTGGAACAGACGGTGGTCTCAGCCCAGTTCACTTTTTGTACTGTTCATCTGGTGTAAGTTTTGCAGGGTCATTTTCATCAACCTTGTCTCCACCCGACTCTCATCAATCTTTTCTCATAATGCATAGGCTGCGAATAAGAACTCGCCTTTCCTTTACCTTCAATCAAAGGGCCAGACAGAAGAAGATCTTATAAATGTAGGATTCAAGCGAGTATCTATCTTTCGACCTGGTTACCTGCAGATTGAGGAAAAGCGTCCTCAAGCACGCATTGCTGACAGCATTCTCAGTAAATTTATGGGCTTTACTAGAGCCGTCGGCTGGCGTTTGGATGTACCCGTAGCTGTTGTTGGTAGAGCTATGTTACATGCCGCTACTCATCCTGTCGACGCTACGGGCAAGTTAGGCAAAACTTCCTCACAATTTATTGAGAATCCGGAGATTGAAGTAACTGGTGCTTAATTCGTTGTTCTACCATCTACTTGCCAATCCAAATTTTTATATATATGAATATAATGTAAATCTTTAGGTAACACGTTGTTATAAAATTTGAATGACTTTTTGCGAACGAGAGGAGTTTCAGATTCGTTGATTGTAGAAGTCATACAGGGCTTAGATAGAATGATAGGAGGTATGCGGATCATTTAAGTTAGCTGTTCATGATTGGGTGCCAGTGTGATGGTCAGCATATGAGATACCATGCTATTATCACTGCTTGTAACTGGTGAGCACCTGCGAACCGAAAGACAGCTTAATCTCCGCATAATGCTTTGGCCACCGGTTGAATATGTCACGGCACCATGTTTTAAGCTTTTTGTTACCAAGGAAATGTGCCTATATTATTCAAGACTTTGGTTTCATGCTTTATTGAATAAAATTGCAACTGCTGAATTTGGTGTCATCTCTTTATGCAATTTACAGCGTATGGCTCCTTCGCTCCTTTTTGAAGCCGTCATTTGTAATGGGCTTCAAATCGGGACTGACAAGTGCAACTTTCTCAGTCACAATGAAAATCCCTACATTCACAGACAAACAGCCGACAGAAAGACCATGTTCGAAGGCAAAGGTATGAATAGGAGTATCAAATGCTTCATCTGCATAATGTCTAGAAGAAGGTTTTAGATAACTTAAATAAGTTACCTTTCTCTTCTATAGATTCTACCGCAGGAGATAGTACAGGAATACAATATAAAATAACAAAATTTTGACATCTAAAAAACTGGCAATTTCGCAAGCGTCCAATGTGTTAGGCCATACAATCATGCGGAATATATTCTTCTCAGTATAATTTTTTTATATTTTTGTATTTTGCTTTCTTAGTTCGCGGATTTCCTGTCCTGTACTCTTTTCGCATTTTCACATATTGGTTTGTCACAGGATGACGAATCCAATATCGCCTGTCAGTACGTCTGGCAGTATTGTCGCTTCCTCGATCACCACTGGCGACAACCTTCCGTTCGCAACGTCTCACATCAGGAACAGCACCTCAGAGGAAGTTATCCTGCATACGGAACATTCTGCCATATCGATTGATGAGTTTTCGCGCATGGCAATTGATGAGCACAAAGCTACGTTCAATAGTCTTAATACATCTGAAACAACCTCGCCTACAGAAGATCGTTCGCTAGATAATGGCAGGCTTGAATTGGTAAGTTCTGGTCTCATTGCACCATTATCTCTAGTTGCGATATAAACACGACTAAAGATATCGCAGCAAAGCATGGAGACAACGAATTACTGTACCATACCTGGAAGGGAAGCTTTCTCACGGCCACCTTCTCTGAATGAATATTCCACTTCATATATTTCAGCTTTTTCTGAAGACTTGTCTAACAAAGACATTGATCAGTCGGATAAAAAAGAGAATGAATCGATTGTTTTGATAGTGTCAAGAAGCAGTCTCGAGCAACCTCCAAGTACTCCTTCACTTACATACTCCTTTGATAAAGCGCTTCCGGAGATTGTGGAGATTGAACCTAAGAAGATACAAGTGGATTCAACAGAGGCAAGAAAGTCTATGAGAGGACGTCATGCCTTACTCGAGCTCATGGAAACAGAAAGGGCGTTTGTGAAGGATTTGCGGATATTGGTGAAGGTACAATGAGGGAGGATACCATAAATGGACACCACCTGAGAACACGTTTGGCTAACTTTCCATGTCTGTAGACCTGTCTTGAACCACTAGAAGAGATTTCATGGATACCCACTGAGCATAAAAAGCTGCTGATCAGAAACGGTCAAGCCATCCTTGAATTTCAAACGGAGTTTTTGGATGCTCTGGAAGAAGCGTATACCACCAAACCTTTTACCCATGATAAAGAGACATATGGAGGCGATTTGAGAGCAATTGCCCGATGCTTTTCTCAACTTGTGAGTGTTCTTGAAAATTTCCTGCATCGGTTTGCTCTGACTAACATCGGCTATCATTAAGGGAAAAGGATTTTCGGTGTACACAGACTATTGTATACAACATGACAGTGCTATGAAGTTATATAAAGAATACTTCTCTCGGATCGAGTTCATATCTTACCTTAGGAAATGTTCTTCTGAAAAAAGTGAGGAAAAAGCAAATTCAAGACTTCAGTTTGATGATTATTTGATCAAGGTAATTTATGGTTAATGTAACTTTGGCAGTTGTCAGCTTTGTAGAGCAAAAAAGGATATATAATCTAGTCCATTCTGATTCTAACCGTTACCAACGCAGCCTGTACAGAGAATTTGTCGCTATCAACTTTTACTGAAGGAGATCAACAAATTCACTGCGAAAGGGAGTGTAGAAGATGAAGAGTTGGTGAAAGCGATCAAGACAATGGACGGAGTGGTTGGAAACATTAATCAAGAAAAGGAAAAGCAGGATGTAGCTGCCAAGACCGACCTTTTCATATCGAGGCTCGAGGACCATTGGGTATGATATTAGTATTTTCGCATTGGACAATATATATCTCTTCTAACAAAAAATTGTTATAGAAATTGAACAAGCGTTTTGTTCGACCCCTTGGCTCCTTCATGATATCGGGAGCTTTGGAAATGATGTATTTGACTGAGGGTTCTAAAGTCAAATACCTTGGTTGCGCAGTATTCAACACCTACATGATTATTATACGAACGAAAAAGCTGAATCAGTACGAACCCAAATATTGGTTTCCGTTACGTCTTTTTGAATTGACTGATTTGGAGGAAGGTCAAGGTAAAATAATCAAAAATTAAAATGTGTTCGAAAAAATATATTGCAGGTGTCCTCACTCATATCTTTGTCCCTTAGGAAACCTTATGTATGCATGGATACTCCACTACGATAGACATTGGTTTGAATTCTCGGCAACGTGTCAAAAAGAAAAAACAGTTTGGTTGAAGGCAATTCGCGAAGCAATCGATCACTCAAGAGCACAGCATGACGCTCGCATCGCACAGAGTAATGAAAATGGTGGGACAGCAGAAGAGCTTTTGGTATCGTCTCTGGAAGACTCAGTTCCATCAACTCCAAAGCTCAGATCAGCAACGTCATTTGCCAGCCTTTCGGATTCTACCATTCCAGATACATTGCTGGCTGATGTCTCTGCTTCTCTCAAATCACCTGTTTATCACCCCGACTCGAACAAAGGCCATCATTACTCACCCTCATACACTGAAGTCGAGCCTTCAACGTCATCTTCAACAGAAACAAGCAGACTATCTCAATATAGCGTTGAACAAAGTCCTTCATCTAGCCGCCTCTTGAATCGATATTCCCATTCAGCATTAGATCAAATATACAGTCGTGATCAGAGATATAGCTACCACACCTCAATACCCCCACAGCTTCTACACAATACATCGCACTCACAGTCAATCTACAGTCATCGACACACAAGCTCAATTGATTTAAAGGATTTATTCCAGCCCTCTGGCGTCAAAGAGAAAATGCACCAATTTAAAAGTAGCCATTTTCATGCACAAAGAATGACCGTCGATCAAAAATTGCAGGATGTCAGTACAGATAACTTTTTGGCTGCAAGGGCATGGTCTGTTAGAGATAGAGACAGTTTTGATGGAAGCAAACGACGATCTGGTATTCACAAGACAGTTTCAATGATGTCCTTCCCCAAAAACAACGAATATGTCGCATTGGATGAAAATTCGCCTGAAGGTCATTCTCCAAATGATGCGGTCTCGTATCCTGCTCATCAGTCCATAGGCGGTATGGTGATCAATGCAGTAAAACGAAAGGCATCACTTCCTGATCATCGTCGTAGTCGTTACATTTATGCTGACGCACAGGACAGCAACAAACCAAAATCGGCAGGCCTGATTGAAGAAAAAAACTACAGTTACATTCAAAGACAGCGGTCTATATCCTTGAAGTCAATCAATAACGAACACAGGATGACAAGACTATCAGGAAGTTTCATATTTCCATCCTTCAGTTCCACAACCCAAACGAGAAAGTCATATTCAGGGCCTGAAACTTCGAGTAGTTTGGATGGTAAAGAAGCCATGTCGCCCAGTATGCAATCCAATGGCTTGATCGGAAAGTTTGTTGGAAAATTTAGCAGCTTCGGTACTACCACTAAAGGAAGGAATAGCGACCATTGGTTCAAAGCAGATGAACGGCAGCATGGATCAACGGAGGTTCCAGTAAGTCTTTAGACGTCTTTTCTTAACTAAGCATAAGATGAATGAAATAATAATCATTCGGATCTTGATTACAGCCACAACAACCCCAAATATCAATCAGTGTAAATCGAAGAAACAGTGTGAAAGCTTCATTATCATCCCCATTGAAGAATTCTCATATGGCTGACGAGACTAGTGATGCTATAACAGCTGAAAGTTGCTCTAGTGTTCCAAGGAGCTATTCGACCTTTTCAGCATTCCATAAGAGCGTGTATTCAGAGTCAGCATTGCCACCCACTCCGAACGACCACAAGCACCACCGAGCTGAAGCCAAGGTTGATTTCTCGGTAACGAAACCTACCAGTGTAACAGAAACAACGCAAATGGAGAAGGAGAAAAAAATGCACACTCTCCGAAAATTCAAGGACATTGCTTCTCCTCGGATCAAATCTGGTGCTTTGATGCTATTGGCTAAGCGAAACAATATGCAGAGCCAAAAGTCGCCACCAAAGGATGCCGATATTACTTCATTTCGAAAAGGTTGGCTTAAAAAAACGACCAACAGCCATAAGGAAGCTTCAGAAAATGGATCAAACGAAAGCTCTCCCATAAATATCTCACCTCGAACGTCAAATCTGGATGTAGACCATAAGACTCGAACGTCTGTCGAGATAACAAAGGTCGACGTATCAGGTACACCCAGCTCCGGTTATGCACCTCAAGATGGCAGAGCCTCTCAAGTTTCTCCAAAGCATTCTACAAATGATGGAAACGAATCCAATGACAGTTTTGTTTCGTGCAACTCATCCAACCCACTGAATGATAACAGTGTTCCAACAAGGTCACTTAGCAAAGTGGAAATGTTACTTTCGATAGATACATCAAGAGATCGAGCGCCTCAAACACGGCGCTAGTTAGATATTGTAATTAGAAACCACTTCTTTTTTGATACAACAGAAAACAAATTTATATCGCAAATAATGTACAATAACTTGCACCCATTGCGCTTTTTGTGATATTCCAACTTTGCATTGTTGTCAATGGACCTGTAACCCCGATCCAACTGGTGACTGCCTTAAGTACGCTGCGAGTGCAACGCCCACTTGACATTCAAATCACTTTTGTTCTTTCCAATTCGTTGAACTTGTGTGCTGCTTCGGGTACCTAGAAGTTGAGCTTCTGTCACAGTTGAAGAGGAGAGAAATTTGCGAGCTTTTTCTTTGTTTCTGTCTGGAATCAAAACTGAAAATCCCGTCGAACGACATATTGCAAACAAGGGCCATTTACAATCTTTGTGATCATGCCACCGAGAAGAACATGCTATAAATGCGGCAATGGTAAGGCTATTGCATTTCTTTTATATTGGTTTTGGGTGGACATTTGCGGATGGCCACGATTATAGCGCTCCGCTTGGCGCTATGGCCGAGCGTTGTCACTTTTTGTCTACCTTGAATTAAATTCCCCCCTTCATTTTGGCCTGAATAGCTGGACACTTTGCCGAATCTTGCCCAGAACCTGAAAAACTTTGTTATAACTGTAAACAGCCTGGTCATCAAGCCAATGAATGCACGGAACCCAAGACTTTACAATCTAAGCAATGCTACGCCTGTGGTGGAGGTACAGTACTTTTTGCCCCCGTGTGTCTGGAATCCCTAAATATCAACTGATTGTTCGCGTTAGTTGGCCATATCCAGGCCGACTGTCCAAGTGTAGGAAGAATTCCGGCAGCTGGAGCAGGCATTGGTCGCTGCTATACGTGCGGTCGTATCGGCCATATTGCTCGAAATTGTAATAATGCTGGCTTTGAAGGCGTCCCATCTTACCATCGTAACTTTGGAAGATACCAAAATGGCTATGAAGGAGCAGGAGTCCAAAATGGGTCAAACTTCCGTGTAATTTGTTACAAGTGTGGTGGTTAGTATCAATTGTAAACTTTCCAGATTGGCCTTGGTACTCATCCAGTGTGCTTTAGGTTACAACCACTTTGCCAGAGATTGCCAGGCCAGCGGAGTCAAATGCTATAATTGTGGTAAATTTGGTCACATTGTAAGTCGCCAAAGATTTTCTTTTTGGTTTTGCTTATGAAATAACCATTATAATATTTTTTTGTTATCCAAAGTCTCGCGATTGCCCTAACGCAGCTGGTAGCGATCGAAGTATCAAGACTTGTTATCGATGCGGTGTTAAGGGCCATATTTCCAAGGATTGCCCCAATAACAATGGCGTTACCATTGAAGCTTACGATTAGTGTTGTAAGAGAATAATAAAAAAAAATTTGGAGTTAAACAAGTTTGTCTCAAGGTCATCAGGAAAGACACGCTTATCTTTGTTGATGCCGGTGCTCTACAAGGTTTTTGGGTGCCATTTGAAATCATCCAATGAAACAATTGATTATGGCCATTTGTGGTCGACGTCATACTAATTATTCATACTCACCTCGGTATGAGCAACAAGTAAGGTCTCGCACCTACCATTCCTCTATCCGAGCTTTAAACCCTTCTCTTCCCCTCTCTCAAGACCCCAATTGCGTGGTTCTACACAACTCTCGCAATGCTCTAATTCCTAGCAAACTATCAGACAAAGAATAATCATAAAACGCACATATTAACGACTACACCATGGAGATTGATTCCAATGACACAACCAGCCCGCATTCCACAAACGAGAGCTCGTTTGGGTTTTTCAACACATTTGAGTTTGATCACAGTGGACCAGGCGGCATAGATTCAATTATTATATCAGAAGACAATTCATCGGAAGGCACTCCCTTTGAACATCCTATTGAAGAAGATCCTTATAATGAAATCGAGCCGTATTATCTCCAAGGCCAGAGATTATATCAACAGCAACAACAGTCTCGAAGACGGAATTTAGAAGACTCACCGCCGTTTACGCTTGATCGAAAATTTGACTCCCTCAGTATCCCGGATTTCACTATCCCTGCATCACCACCCGCCGCACATTTGGAAGACCACTATATTATTCCCGCCGATAGCTCTTCTATAGTGGATGTCCCCATGCCCCACACCACTGCCAAATACGCGCTACAAAAGAAAGTATCGCAAAATGCTGCTACGGGTGACAATGGATCGTCTGTTTTCAATATATCTTGGGGAGGTGATGATCGGCCGCCGGAATCTTACGATGATCAAGGTCTTACGGAAGAAAACATGCAGCCAACAAAGCCTCTTCCAAAACCTAGAGGAGTCAAGCGTCATCCATCGCCTGACTTAAACGACGATGGAACCTTGGACGAGGAAAGCCTCAAGCGATTGAGGGTAAGCTTTCAATGGACCCTGTGTTTGGTTTGGTAAAGAGTGTGTTTCAGTCATCATTGTATTATTTGCCTCGTCCCGCCCAACGCAATATGTATGACTGGTGTGTGTGGGCTTAGAATCTCCCGAGGGGATAAAAGGCCATATGCAGCCATGTTGTTTGGTTTACTAACCCATCCTATTGCTCCATTAATAGAATACTCACGCAGCGCGTAGATCGCGTTTGAAGAAGTTTTTAAAGGTTGAGTTTCTGGAGAAACAAGTTGCTGCCTTACAAGCTGAAAACTCCAAACTTGTGCTGCGCACTGCAGTTCTAGACAGCGAAAAGCACAGTATGCTTGCTAAGGAACAAGAGTATCTACGACGTATAAAGCACCTTGAAGAAATTAACCTCCAGCAGAGCAAGAAACTCAACGAAACTTCCACTGATTCCAACGCTCAGAAATGGCTTGTATAAAACCCAACAGTGTGCCAAGCGCTTTTTTCATTATAATATATTTATATTTTTTTGGTTGTTGTTGTTTGAAATGTTGTCTTTGGGGTCTGGGCTGGTGGTTTGGTCCCAAAGCTAAAAATAAAACTGCTGCCAAATTTAACGGGACTTTTTTTTCCTTGTGGCTCCCCCGCTTCTTTAAACCTCAAGACAAGTCAGTGCATTCCACCATTTTGAACAAAAGTTTCTTCCATTTATACTAAGCATGCCTGTTGAAGGTGTTTATGCTTCACCATTACCCAAACTGAATACTTCGACGTCTTCACTTCCACCCACCAAATCCATGGATAAATCAAACTCATCACACTCTAGTAATGGGGTAGATTCTCTGACAGCTTCGTTTTGGCACCACACGAGCTTATCTGATAAAGAACAAGCTTCCCCTAAATTGCAATATTCAAGGCGACGATTATCGAGTAACGACAGTGCAGTCATTCCTATGGACATAGACCATCGAAGTCCATCCACCAACCTTCTTCCGAATACTGATCGAACCACGGTCAGAGGAAAACATTTGGACGACTCGGTTCATACCAATGGCTCACGATACGATGCTTCGAAGTCTGTAGAGTATAATGATTTAGCTCTGCAGGAATCTTCTACGCCCTCTGGCTTGCATACCATAAACTCCATACCATGTGCAAGTAATTCCACTTGTGCAACCGATCAGTCACCAACAAATGGAGTCAAGCTGAAGCGACACTCTGCAACCGCCAAATTGAAGCCTTTATCAACCACCACCAATGTAAACAAACCTATCCCACCCAAATCTTCTATATCACCCTCACAAGCCAAGCCTATGTCTGCTATTGAGCTTATGACCCGGTTGGAAAACGGAAAGCGTCAAAAGTCGGGTGAAACCATGCTATTGATCGACTTGCGGGACATCAATGAATATAACGAGGACACCGTCACTGGAGCTATAAATGTCAATCTACCGACTTTGTTGATAAAGCGATTTAAGAGGAACGCCATGTCCACTTTTAAAATGCAGAATTTTATCACTTCAGCGGAAGGAAAGGAGTTTTTTGCTGCTAGGGATAATTTGAAAAGCGGCGACGCTATCGTTGTGTTTGATCAAACGATGGATGAAACGGATCCTGACCTTTATGCATGGACACTGTTGGCCATTTTGGAAAAAGTCGGTCTGGATGATGTAAATACATCACTGGCCTCTCTGAATATTCAAGTTTTCTGGCTCAAAGGGGGCTACGATGTCTTTCGGCAATTCGACGTCAATGGTGATCATCGGTGTGAACCAGGAGCGTTTATCGAGGCTTTAAACACCACCACCAACAACAACAATAGTGTGGATGGCATCACGTTGGATGCTAACCTTTTATCAAGACCAGCACCCATGTTATCAAGAAGTACCACCATTCCTTCCTCTGCACCCATGAATCAGAGTTCTAACTTGCAACGGCGCGCGAGTCTTTTCAGTCTGGATACTGGAGCAGCGCGGGCAAGACGAGAACACTCAAATCGCATACTCAGGCAAGCCAGCCAAAGGGCGGCTAGTCGGGCAGCAGCCAATTTACATCCCGATTCCCTCACCACCTCACCTGAAAGCATGAATGGAACAGAAGGAAGGAGGGATGATGGAATGGAATCGGCGATTGATAGCGAAACTACTAGACACTCTTCTGCGTCAACAGGCAGACAATGGTCAGCTAGGAGTAAAGATGGTGGACCGGATTCAGCTGCGACCCAAGACTCGGGATTTTACACCTCAAGTACCGTCAATTCCGCAGCATCTGAATTGCCTTTACCACCGTATGTCAATGAATGGAAGGACTCTGACCTTGACGATATGAGTGAAGATATCATGTCATCCGACTCACCGCCTGTATCTTACGAAGAAACTCAGTTCGTGGTCTCGGAGATTGTACCAGGATTTTTGTTTGTAGGACCCGAAATAACATCACTCGAACATGTACAGATATTACAAGAAAAAGCCGTTCGCCGTATTCTCAACATGGCAGAGGAATGCGATGATGATGTTCCTGGGCTACAAGATACCTTCATCTACAAGAAAATTCCAGCTCGAGATACCGTTGACATGCGAAATGTCAGTAGCACTTTTACCGGCGCAGTCAAATTTATCGGTAAGGGGATAAATTTATCGATTTTGCCTATTTTTTGCTCACGGTGAATACTTAGCTTTTTTATTTTATTTTTATCATGGGTTGGTTCAGAGGACTCAAAGCGTCTTCACGAACCCATTTATGTTCACTGCCGAGCAGGAAAATCCAGATCTGTCACTGCCATCTTGGCCTACCTCATCTTATCCGAGCGTTGGACGCTAAAGCGCGCTTATCGTCATGTCACCAAAGCTCGACCCAATATGTCTCCCAACATTGGCTTTGTGGCAGAGCTGATGAAGCTAGAAGGTCGCGTCCACGGTATGGTGTCGGGTATCGATTCATCCGACCCTAGCAGCATGCCATTGCCTAGTCCCAAGCTCAAGCAAGACCTTAAAAAGTTGAAACAAGAATGGGAGGATGCCGTCAACTAGCACACCACTCCCACTCATTCTACTATCGGATGTACGCAATAGCGTGTATCTTGTATTCACTTGTATAATTTCATTGAACATTTACTTACAGTATTTTTAGTCCCATCTTTTGTAAAATTTCATGTCAACTGTTGTAAAACCTCTTCGTCACCACCTCTTCTTTACTTATTTACAATGCATGCATGTTATAAAACTCCCTTTATTTTTTTTACTCTCTCTCTCTTTTTTTTTTTTATATAATGCACACACAGAAAAAAAAAAATTAAGTATCCAAGTTCTAAGTTGGCTATCAAACCCGAGGTATTCCTCCCCCGCCAGTTACGTGGACCTTATTAGCGAGGCGGTATATATGGGGCGGCGGTGGAGGGCATCGGTTGGTTTTGTCACATTACAGGTCCAACAGGAGGTCCACGCCACCAGTGACTTGCGATTGTCGCATCTCTGGACGGCTAACCACATCGGTTGCGTAGGGATTTCCCGTCTGGAAGCCAGACATATCATAGCCATTGAAAGACAATCTGCAAGTGGTGTTAATTACGAGGCGATTGATAAACAATATGCTTGTATACATACCTGTTTGCAGCAGCAGCTTCTTTTTGTTCTTGTTCGTGGTGGGCGGTAGGAGAGGTCACAGATGGTTCGAAGGTAGCGGGACGTGTGCGACGGAGGACAGGGCTTGGCATCAAATATCTTGGTTTGTAGTTGTTAAGGAAGGTGGAGGGCGACTTGTGGTAAATGGATGCAAGACTGGCTACATGTAATAATAGCTCATCAAGCAAAGCGGGTTCCATGTTATCTGTCTCTGTTGAAATTTGAGGTTTCTCTGACAACACAACGGCCTGGAATGAAACAATAGTACCAGCATGAGTTTGGATCGCTTTCCTACGTAACGTAACATTCGTTTTCGATGTTTTCTTACCTTCGCCGCTGCAGGGTCAGTTGAAAGCAGTCTCCAGTATACGTAACCACGATCGCGTAAATCTGGATTATCAACCTCTTCCGTTGCCCATTTGAGCACTTTAGGAACAAGCTCTTGGCCAGCAGTGGGTCGCTTAATAAACAGCTTGACAGTTGCCGTCAAAAGCGCCAGTTGAACCTATGGTGTTGTTCATGTTGAATAGGTTAGATAGGGTTGCTAGTGACACGATGGAGTAACGCGCGTCATCTCACCTCAACAGGTTCCTCCAGGAAGGTATACAAAAAGTCGTCAAGCAAAACATCAGCGTTTTCAATTCTATCAGCGTATTGTCCGATGATCCAAACCATGGCAGCCTTGGCTTCTGGTTCATCCAAATTGTCCAAGTTTTCGCAAAGAGTACCAATGATACTCTCGTATTGATTTGGATATTTACGGAAAATATCCTGCAATACAGTATTGTTAGTTACTTAAAGTAGTCATGCGTTTGATATGGCCATCGAAATAGCACTTTGGAAACGAACCTTGATAACAACAATAGCCTCCTGCACAACATAGTTAACCTTAGTCTCGATCAACTCGATCAAAGCTGCAATGCATCTCTGAGCGCCGCTCTCAATCTTAACAGCGAGTCGTCCAATGGATCGCACTGCTTTCCGAACAAAATCGACATCCACCTCAGCAGCATACCTATACTCAATGCAAGTTAGAAAAATATTCCATACGTATCACACAAGCATTCACTATAATCCCTACTCTTTCAGTTCGCTGAGAACCTGGTCTACATTGCCAGCATGGGCAAGACAGAACATGATCTCAAGTTTAGCAAGCTTGACGTAAATTGGGTCGTTGTACTTGCAGAAGAAGACTTTCATGTCGTTCTTGAGCACATCTGGTCGTTTCTGGATGATAAGAAGTATGTTACGCAATGCGACATATTGAACTTCAGGTCCAGCCGAAAGTAAGGTGACTGAAGGACAAGTTAGTATAGGGGGCACAACAGAATGGATAGGCATACCGACTTACCCAGAGGCGGGCTCAGTTTTCGGCACAGATTAGCGATGTCTTCTTCTTTTTCCATGTAATTCATGAGGTACACGATGACCTTGACTGCAGTCAACACGACGGCTGAATTGGCATGTTGCAATCGAGGAGTGATACGCTCGGCCAGCATCTCTGCATTGCCAGGCTCTTGAGGTACATAGTAAAGGAGGGCCTCAAGGATATATGTTTGACCCCACCTAGTTCAGTAGATTTAGTCGCTTGAATCATTTTATGCCATTCCATTACGTTCTGATGCTTTCACTTACTCTGAGCATTCATTTAGAGCGGTGACAAGTTTGCTGGCGACAGAGAAGTTGAGACTCAATTGAATATCCTCTGAGCGCTCTGATATTTCTGTGAGAGCAGCAACTGCGTTTGCCACAACCTACATACCCAATGTTTAAGTAAAGACATAAATACGTGATGAGTTGTAAACAGAAAGAGCACTGACCGTGGGGTTGGGGTCATTCAAGAGGTCTCGTAGCTTCTCGATGAACCGTTCGCTTTCAACAAGCCCTCTATCATACATATATAGTTTCGCAACGCAGATGGCAGCCGTCTTTCGGACATAAGGGTCCTGATCTCTTAAACAGTGACTCAAAGGGTCAACTAGGCAGTCGATAATCTTTTCAACTTGAATATATCCCATGGTTCTAATGGCGAGGGCTCGAATTAAAGGGTTTGGGTCTTCCACGTCCTTTGAGTCGCATTGATGATACATTATTCAGTTAATAAAATAAACTTGGTTTGGAGCGACCGAGTAACTAGGTCGTGCTGATATTCACCTTTATGAACATGGCTATGGCCATCATGGCCATGTCTGGCTTGCTTCTCGCATAGTTGATGAGGTAGAGGTAGACCATTTTCTTAATTTCGAGTATTGGTACGTTCATAACATTGATAATATCGGGAAAGAGAGGCGACATGTCGTTTCCCATAGTCATATTGGCGACAATCTTCTTCATCACTGTCTTCTTCTTGGTATGCTTTGGATCTCGCTTGTCGGAATTGAGCTCTGCTCGAAGTTCCTGTATTTTACCTATCAATCCCGGTTAACCCTGGTCACGTCAAAGTCTGAAAGTGCTTTTCGTTTAATATTGTACCTCTCTGAAAATACTTTGCGTCTGACATGTCTGGTAAAGTGGAAGACGATGGGAAGGAAGTACGCTAGACTGGCACAGAGCTTGTGTGTTTGAAGTCAAATTGAGTGGACAATTTTGGGTAGCTGGCTTTGAAACCAGCCAGTCCCAAATCGCTTTTGTCGGAATCCCAAGTTCAAGGTACGGCACACTTCTCAACCGCCAACGAATCAAATGGACGAGTCAAGTCTACAGGAGAACACTCCATTGTTACCAGAAAGTGAATCTTTGGATACTAGTAAGCCTGGACAGCTTTGTGGAATATCACCTTTGGCAGTTGGTGGTAGGTGTTCAGGGTCTGAATGGAGATTACTTTGCTGGACGGCCTTCGAACTGTGTATTGTATTTAGATCAACGGCTGCAGCGTCAAATAGGCTGGATCACCGCTTCACTCATTAATGTGAGCTACATGATTGGAGGTGGTATATTTGCAAGTCCAGCATTAACACTATCGCTTGTTGGCTCTGGTGGTATGAATATCGTTGTTTGGGTCTTTGCATCGTTAATCGCGCTTACGGGCGTCGCCACTTATGCCGAGCTTGGTACCATGGTAAAGTGGAATTTATATATTTTTCACTTTGTTTCTGTGAAGATATTAACAAGACCAAGCTCCCCAGAAGGTGATGACTTTTTTTAATACGGTGCAGTGGCGTATATGTTTTGCCTCGGTATTGATGAAATTTTTACCATTGTAAACTAAAGTGGAGGGGAAAAGGAATATCTGGCATATATCTACCGAAAGCCCAAGCTTTTACTTCCATATGTATTTGCATTTTACGAAATAATAGTCATCGCAGCTGGTATTGCGTCGCAATCTACGGTCTTTGGGCGGTACTTGAATGTTGCTCTGTTCGGCATGGAAGCTTCAACTCCACTTCTTGATCGCGTGTGGGCAGGTAAGTTACAAGCGATGAAGACAGCAGTCAAGCGGTGGGGCTAATGACCTTATTTATGTAAATAAAAAAAGTGTTAGTGGCTACTCTTTTGCATCTTGTCAATATATGGTCCGTGAACGCAACGCTGAAGTCTATGGTAGCACTAACGGCCATCAAGATCTCAGTCCTACTGTTAATTATCCTGACTGGCGTCTTGACGCTTTGTGGGCTACTTCCTTCAGATGTCAATTTTTTAGAAAATATTTCCTTCAACGGTACATCGACATCCATTGCGCCGTATGCGTCTGCCTTTTATTATGTAAGCTGTGCAGTACAGATGTTATAACGTAGCATGTTCGATATTGCTTATCTTCTCCCACGCTGTCTAAAAGTGTATGCATGGCTATTCCGGCTTCAATGCCATACAATACTCTCTGGATGAAGTTAAGGTTAGCTGATTACACTGTTTAGGTTTTTTGATGGACGTGTTACCTCATCTATTCCACAAAGGATCCCATCAAGAATTTGCCAAAAATAGCCGAAAGTGCCTTAGGGCTGACTGCAATTCTATATGTATTAGCCATTGTGTCTTACATGACGGTATTATCAGTGGAAGACATTAAGAAATCAGAATTGACTGTTGCCGCCAGCTTGTGAGTATACTGTGATATGTATAATGCAACGAGATGTATTCATTTTACTTATTTGAGTATGTCTTCTTACAGCTTTACAAAAGTTTTTGGAGATGGTTTTTCATCACGAGTGCTTCCTGTATTAGTTGGATTAAGGTAAAGCTTCGTGAACATATTTCAGTCATAGATAACATTGTTAAGCTGAAATCACATGGTCAGTGCTGTGGGATGCACTGCATCGTTAACATTTTCAGGAGGTCGACTCATATTAGAAACAGCACGAGATGGCTTGATTCCATACGGTCAAACTATTGGATATGTGAGCCCAAAATACAAATCACCCATTAACGCAATGGTGCTGCAGTATGTTCTCGTCGTCGTCTATCTTATTGCAACGCCAGGAGCGGTGTATCAATTCATCATTGCATTCGCCTCATGGCCTGCCTACATCTTCTTCCTCTTGATTGGTGTTGGCGTATTTATCCTACGACAGCGTGAACCTGCGCTAAAACGACCTTACAAAGCATATTCCAGTAAGTTTAAGGAACCATCATGTAAATTGAAATTGTTACTGAAGGAAATGCTTGGACGATAGGTTTTGTTGTTATCTTCATAATCTTCTCGATTTATGAAATTTTGTTTGTTTTCGTGCCGGTGCCCAGTGAAGATTATCCATATTGGTGTAAGTACTGCATTGCATACGCTGTGATTATCAGCTATTTCTATACTATGGGAACTAATGTGAATATTATAAAAAAATGCAGCACCATATGCCGCTGCAATAGTAACCATGTTAGCGAGCGTCGGATTATGGGTAAGTTTTGTTCATATCCGAATTCAGAGACAGGTCTGGCGTTAATATTAATCCGATATACAGTATTATCAAGTTATCGTGCTTGATAGCCCATCAAACTCGTATAACAAACAGATTTTAAATCAAGGGCGTGAGGCATTGGCTCGTGAAGTATACGCCTGAGAATGCATATGCCCTTGCCACCGTGTATTTATATGGGGTTTTCTCCACATTTTCAATGCCTGGTGCTACCCGAAGGACATAGCTTGTCCCCATCCTGACTCGTTTCCGTAACAGCAGATTAAATACTGATTTAAAATGATTTATACACACAATGAAAGGCTTTTGTTTTTCATAAAGCAAACGATTGTCTTTGTTTTGGTTGCGATTTTTTTGGTCAATGTGTGATTTGCCTTTTGTGGCACAAAAAATTTGACTGGAGACATCGGACTGGAATTGGCAAGCAGCCACACGTGAAGGTTTGGCTAGTCTATGCGACGTCGATGCAGTGATAGAGTTGGTCTAGTGTGAGAGGAAGTATGGGGTGTGAATGATGATGATATTGTATTGTCCCCATCATGGGATTGCAGTCCCGTAACGTCTTGCTTTGGCCACATATCCCAAAAATGAACCCACACCACTTTTGGAGTAGTACTTCGAGAAAAAGATGAATGGCCAATTTTTTCTGTCCTGGGCTTCGAACCTCCTTTTCCGCTTTATCCCCTCCGTTCGACCCCACTTTTCAGCAAAAAACGCAAACTTCTTTAACTGGTCTCCTATCATTCATACAACAGAACTAATATCAATATGGATCACGTTCGTCAATTTATGCGCGGTATGCCAAACCAAATATCTGTACCAACGTAAGCAAATGACTAGACAGTACATCACACAAACTAAGATATGATTTTCGCTGCATCCCACCTAAATAATATAATGTATCTCAACCATAGTGTCAAAATGATTCTCCAAATGAATCCTCCCACTGCTGCTCGGGCACTTATGAATGACTTGACTCGGCCTCTCAAGCATCAGCTTCCTTACATCAAGAAAGTCCATGGCGGCGCATGGGTAAGGCTGAACTCAGTATAGATCGCATCAGAGTCTCAGCATAGTACTAAAACTTGCGTATGATATTCTATTCTTCTTTATAGCGAGGAGCGTGGATTGGCGAAAACATGCAATCGGCTGAAAGCTATGAAGATGTAAAGGCCAGAGTCCAGAAAGCGGACTTGATTATTTTTACTATTCACGGTATGGATGAAATGAAATCAGTCGAATCTACGTAACTGCATCCAGCCAGGCTCATATACATGTACGGACTGAAGTATTCTAACCCTTTTTCTTTCAAGGTGGCGGTTTTCGAATAGGAACTTCAACAATGTATATGAAGGCTTATACAACTTGGATTGAAATGCTCAAAGACAACGGGATTCATGCCATCATTATGTCAGTTAAATACCGTAAGTAATTTGTATGACTGGAATATCGGTTGACGTACATCTTACCAATACATTCCTCGTTGTAGGACTTTCACCCGAGGTACTACTCTACATTGCACTGTGCGTAAGTTGTTTCAGCTACAATTTTAGTTAATGCTATTTCTATTTCAGGCTAAATACCCAGAACCGACTGAAGATTGCGTACGAGCCTACCAGCACCTTCGAAACTCCCTGGCGGTCCCTGGAAATAAGATCGTCGTTACCGGTGATTCCGCTGGTGGAGCGCTCTTGTTTGAGACAATGATGGACTGCCACGCCCCAGACGTATACGATCATCTTGGGGGAGACAATGCTACGGGCGCTATTGAAAGCAAGGGCTACCCTGATCTTCCTGCCGCCATGATGCTGTCTTCACCACTGGTGACAGAAAAGTTTGATGCACCGTCATGGAAGGCCAACGATAAACATGATATTGTTACAACCAAGTTCGCCAAACAAGTCCTTCGTGAATACTTTGATCCCGAGGTAGCTCCCACGCCAGAAACCATGAAGGTGCTAGCACTTTCCAGAATGGAAAAAGGGTTCGAAGTTTTCTTACCAAAGAATGTAATCGTGTATGTTGGAAAGAAAGAAGTCATGCGAGACGACATTCTAGAACTTTGCAACCGAGTCAAGAGAAACAGTACCATCAACGTCCAAGTAGTGCAAGAAGATCTTGTCCATGACTGGTATATGATTCGGGATCTGGTCAAAAAGAAATCTATACTGGAACAAAATGACAGAGTCTTCATTCGGTTTATCAAGCAAGCCTTGGAGCAGGCTCAAGGTCATTCTATCCGAAGCTCAGCGCAATTCAAGGAAGTTCGCAGTCGCCAAGGAAGACAAGCTTCCATGTCTGAATCATTTATGTCTTCGTCATCGGCCAACAGCTCGTCTGCTCAAACAGCCCTGGAATCTTCGTTAGCCGCTGAATCAGAGTTGCTTGAAACTCTTTCACAAGTCGGCAGCCACAAGGATCGCAGAAGTACTTCGGAAACGCCTATTGCGTCGCCCACCATTCTAGGTTTAATCACCGTTTAATAGTATTCCGTAATTGTAGTAAATACCAAGGAATTATAATGCCACAGACATGACGTTATTATCTTCTCTGTATGAATTGTTTTTGTTTGGTCTATGCTTCTCCCTTTCGCATGAAGCTCAACTTGGTATTGAACCGGTTTGTTCTTCGTGAAGGAGATGTGTAGTCTGTAAACATGCCCATCAACCCGTTTTATTTTCTATTTCAACAATAAAGGCTGACGCGACGCCTCCTGATTTTTGATCGTCGCCCCGTTGAGGATTAATGCATGCATTTTATTTTATTTCTTTATGCCATGTGGATGATACGCAGAGTGCAACAAAAAACTTGTTTTTTTTTTTTCAATTATACACCCCCAAATAAACCGTGCTGCGGACTGGCGAACTGGGGTAGAGAAACATAAGAAGAGCAAATTGGAAACAGATACATGGGTGTCATGTTCCAAAGAAATAGCATTGACAAAGTAGTAAATTAGGAAGAAGAGACAGGAATGATGGCGGCTGCACGGACATCTTCGTAACGGCAAAAAAGCACAATCTACTCTTTTGTATTCTTGGACTTCTTCTGCACAGGTTCCTTGGGTGCGATGAAATCCTTTTCGCGTTCTGCTTTTCGCTTGACAGTGGTCTCTTGTTGCTTTTGCTTGCGCTCCGCCATATCTCTTGCCTTCTTCTCTGAATCCTTGAGGAAATACTCGCCGGATTCCAATTGCTTGTCGATCTTCGACAAGGTCTGTGCTGGAGGGAAGGGAGTGTATTCCTTCTTTTTGGAGTCGGGCTTGGGCTTCTTGTTGAGCTTGACATTCTTCTTCTTGAAGTGAGGAAGGAAACGATCCCACGATTCTGTAGCAAGTTTTGGATCCTTTGCCAACTCTCTCTTAATCATGAGTTCCTATGTTAAGACTTTGGTTATTCACTGGCACATTCATAGGTGTGGCACAGTTAATTATTTGTATGTTTCGTCATTTCACGTACCTTGATATGATATATAGGGTGAACATTCTTCATACAGTCAATGACGATACGTCGAATTTCTTTCAAGCCCTGGTAGGGACCCATTGCGGACACAGTATTACCCTGAACCATCATGTAGCATTTCGTCAATAATTCGATAGCCTATAGGTAAAAGTTATGTTAAAATGGGGTTAATTCCTCACGAATGTTGGCAGAACCGTTTACACATACCTTCAACGTTGATCCATTAGGGCCCAATAATCTCTGTCTTCGCTTGACAAAACGTTCCTTATTTCGGGTGACGTTACCGATTTTGATGATATCGGATGAAATGCCATCGTCCAAGACCTTAACTGCTTGGGGAAACGGGACACTTCTGGCCAACAACTTAATGAGATCTCTAGCCTTCAAGATGATATATGGGTCGTACGTTTTCTTTGTCGTCTTCACCGTCATACTACCCTCAACCAAATCCAAAACACAAGCTACACCCTGTGAAGTAATTAAATCAGTACCAGTGACTATTGAGGCACAGCACGATCGTGGTTTGGTGAATGTAACTTACGACTTTATCGAGAGCACGAGTGACATGAGGCCAAACTTCCTTCAGATAGTTTTCTCGGTACTTGGGGAATAGAGTTGCAAACGAAGATTCCTCTGTGAATGATAATTTGTTGTCTTCAGGTTTGAATTCCTCGATTTTCCAGTGATCGATATCGTCGGTATCCCATGCTAGAAGCAAAGCAGTCAGTCGCATTACAAAGGAAAGGGGGGCATGAAAATGCAATTCAATACATACGCTTTTCTTTTCTGTACTTTCCGGTCTTTCCTTTCTTTACGACAGGTTGTTCGACTGCAACAGCTTCCTCAGTGTCAGACATATTGTGCAGGTGAAGATATCAACTGCAGGAAAAAAAAAAAAAAAAGTTCAGAGCTTTAAGCCCAGCTAAGCCTCCAGCAGTCATAATTTTTGAGAACTAGCCGTGCGATCGTCGCTCACAGCCAAGGTAAAAGCTAGATTCCATATGTTCAATTCCACACTTCCTGCCGGCAGGATCTTGCACGTCTCTTTGCGAAATGCTCTTCACTCTGTGCGTTATCACAGCACTGGAGGACCGGGACTGGTCTCAGCACAAAAATTCTGTGCCGATTTAGTGAGGTTTGTACCAATGTCGTACGTCATGACGACGAAACAACTTTAAACTGGTATAATTGTAACCATTATAACCAATACATAACAGGAAGAACGACTATGAAAATTACTTGTGTATACCATTTTATCCTAAACAAGTACAGAACGCTCAATACGCCATCCGAGCATTTAATGTCGAGTTGGCGTCCATACGAGAGAGTGTATCGAACGCAATGATTGGCAAAATGCGAACTCAATTTTGGAAAGATACCATAGACAAGACGTTTGCTGTAAGTTGAATGAAAAAAAAAAAAATACATATTTACATGCCTAACGAATTTATATATTCATGTTCGTAATAGAAAAAACCGCCGCAACAGCCTATTGCATTGGCATTGTCAGACGCATTGCAGCATGCATCCCTATCTCCCATGTGGTTCAAGCGCATCATTAATGAAAGGGTGAGTGAGCAGGTCCAAGTAAACTGATGGTAGTACAAGGGATCGGATTTTCTCATTGACACTGGTTCTGACAGGAGGAAAATCTGGAAGATCCTCAATTTATGACCATCAAAGATATGGAAAAGTATGCAGAAAATACGGCTTCCTGTTTACTATATCTTCAACTTGAATCTTTGAACGTCCGGGATGTCAATGCTGATCATATTGTCAGTCATATCGGAAAGATGATTGGCATAACCACATTACTTCGATCCATCCCATTCCATGCTAGTCAGAAGCGACTGGTTCTACCCGCCCAGATTACAGCCAATGTAAGGCCAAAAGAATTTATAGAGAGGAAAATAGAATGGGTTTACTGACCAGACGTTCTAGCATAACATTGTACAAGAAGACGTTTTTCGTCAGGGGCACGCCGAAGGATTAGAAGACGCTGTGTTTGACGTTGCCACGGCAGCACATGATCACCTCCTGACAGCTCGATCCATGCTCAAATCGGTGCCTCCAGCTGCCATGCCTGTCATTCTATCAGCGGTAATTATCGGCACGAGGCTTAGCTTCATTTTGGTACATTGTTTGTATATACAGATGGTTAAATTAACAGGGTTCTCATTATTTAGGTCCCATGTGCGCAATACCTTGCAAAATTAGAGCAACATAATTTTAATGCCTTTGAACCCAAGCTTCAAGTAAGGAACTGGAAGCTTCCATTAGATATCTGGAGTGCATACAGAAACCACACAATATGATATGTTCATGATAATAGTAAAAGGCATTTTGTGATAAGCTTATCTCGCGGGCAGCCCAAGCAAAGATCACAAAAAAAAAAGATACAGCTTTATTTGTGCTACTGTTGAATGCAGATCTGATGGCTTGCCTGGTGTTACATGGCATTGACAGAAGGAATTGAGCTGGACATGATTGGGTAGAATTGCACCATACAGAACGTGCTTTGGGAACAAAACGAAACATCGCTCATTCTTAACTAGTACTTGAAACTCCGGTTAATAAACCGTATTGGAAACAAAAAGTCAGTTCGTACCTGAATGGTAATATCGTCATCTGGGAGTTTCCTTGCTGGCAAATCGGTAGCAGTAACACCAGCGCTCTCTAGATGAAAGGATACAAGCGAGGAAGATAAACGCGTGGTCATGTTGTTTTATGGCCATCGGTCAGTATGAAGCTGCTTAAGCAAATCAAGCCAAATGCACATTTCTGCACAGTGTTTACCTAATCTTTGCAGGTGTCGATATAGCTACCCTATAATTTTTGGGAGAGTCTCCGCAATCAAACAAAAGGTTGAAATCTAAAAAAAGAACAATTTTTTTTCACTCTATCCACTAACGTTTTTCCGCTTGAGCACAGGTGCTAGCTTCGGTTATTGAAAAGTAGTAGGACTGTCTCAGCATGTGAAGTAACACAAGTCCACCAATGACTTCGCACGCTCGATAGGCTACATTGTTGAAGACACGCTCATTTTTTGATTCGACACTTGGTCAAGTTAAGGTAAAGAAAATTTTTAGTGTATTAGGAGGGTTGACTGCTTTTCAAGTGATCCGTTGGCTTTTTGTAGAATTGCACCTCCTACACCCTAGCTAGCAAGCTGGACTCCAAATGAAAGACAAGGAAGTGCCGGATATCACAGCCAAATAGTCAATAGATGCTTGCCTATCAAAAATTTAAGTCTATCAGATTTGAACCTTCCAGAGCGCTGTTTGGAAGGGTTGCACACAAGCTATAAACGAGCCCTTACAAAAGAGACTTTTTCTGCTTGATTTAAATTGAAGATTTAGTCGTAAAAGGGAAGAAATCGCACTATGAGGCGCTGCAGATAACGAGAACCCTCATTTCATTCCGTCAATTAGAGCAAAAGATAAAGTCGCTTTTAAAACTGGATTATAATCCCGCGCAACAATGGACGGACAACGCCCACCCAGTGTGGGTGAATTTTCCCATCAAACCTTTTTTTTTTTATCCACCTTGATGTCTGATGTTAGAAATGCCATGGAGAGATGGATGGGATCTACCAACATGTCTTGAGCTAGTGTTGTCTAGGAGCGATTGAAGGAGGTGTGCAGATCCATGACGAGCAGGAGAAGTACAGAATCATTTCAATCTAATGTCTGTGCAGTAGGAGGATGACCCAAAAAACCCGTGCAAAGTTACCATAATTAAACAGTCAACGAGGGACAACTCCACCCAATCCTAAAGTAGGTAGTACCAGCAGGGAACTCTCAAGCTCACGCGGCAGACAGCCCATGGTAAAGAGGTGAGCATGGCCATGCAAATAGGACCCTCTTCATTGCTGAGATAGAGGTGATGTTGCTATGACGAGAAAAAGGCGGGGACTACTTTGCCTCTGGAACATCACGGTTCCCTGAAGCGGGAAATCTGGCTATCTGTATTTCATCGCCGCAATTTTTACCATGGTAGGTATCCCCGTGTGTGTATATGTGTGTGTCCTGGCCAGATACGGTGGGTGGATGGGGGGGGGAAGCAACTTGAGATCGGTTACCTTTCTGTCACTGGTGGGTTGGGTTCACCACACGGTGTTTTGACAATGATGGGGGCAATCAACTAGAAGGTGATCAACCATGCCAACGCTTCTGTAAGAAAAGATAAAAGTGTGGGATGGGGGATCTTCATTGAATGGCTTGGGTTCCCCTCCCCCGACCAATAATTTTTTTTTTCAACACCACACCTAAAACAGCCAGGGCGGAGATCTAGTACAACAGTCCAATCAAGCAAGCCAGACTTTGGTTTGTTCTAAATTGCCCCTGCCTAGAAAGGAAACACGTGTGCATGCTGGCGACAGAGAGTCCCAGTATAAATGGGCCAAAGGAGAATGGTCCCTTTGAAGCTTTTGCTCTCTTTCTTTTTGCCCCCATCGTATGAACTTGTTCTAAACACTCACATCTTCTACATTTCACTTATCGCTCTCGTCTATTTTGATACACCCACCCACCCTGCCTTTGGTCTCCCATCATGTTTAATCCTTCTTATACTCCTCAATTGCAAATGATCCAACCCGCCACGGTTGCTTCTGCTACCTATGCTTATCCTAACATGCAGAGATTTCCTCATCAGCAAAGGATAGCTCCTCGTTCACCGGCTCCTATCATTGTTCCTTCCTCTACTTCCCATCATCCTGCCTTTTATGCAGCTCAACCCAATGCTTCCGAGCAACAAGCTTTTGTTCCTCCGTTGTGTTTGCACTGCCGGGCCAGAACTGTCAAGCCCACACGAGTTCAAAGGGATGGTGGTCTTTGCAAGCATTGCAAGAAAGATCTTAACTATTATCCTTCTTCCTCCAACTCTGCTACCAATGGTTATTATCGTCAACAACAACAACCTCCTATCCATCATACCCTGCAAAACGCTACGATAACGTTTGATAGCTTGGTGGTCAATTCTCCTCAGCGTGAACTGGTCAAGGATGTGTTTTTTTCCCCAGCACTGAGTTCCACCTTTGATGCCTCTGCTGCTGCCGCTGCTGCTGCTGCTGCCGCCGCCGCCGCTGCCGCCGCCGCTTCATCTTTTCAATCCGAGTCCTCTCAATCCAGTGACAGTGACTCCGAGTCGAGCATTGCTACTCCATTGGATTGCCTATCACCTCGTCTATCGCCTGCTGATTTCCTCTTGGGTGGTGATCAGGAAGAGGCTTTGTTTGGGTTTGAAATTGAAGATGCGCTCAAGGATTCCACTCCCGAAAATGTTGGCCTTGGAATTACCGTCATTTCCAAGAAGAAGCCCGCATTGTCGCTAAAAGACAATGCAACGTTTGTTATGAACAAGAAGCGCTCCTTCTTGGACCATCTTCATGCCGTTGGCGATTTGCCCACCCCACCTGCCTCATCGGATTTCCTTTATGACAATTTCGTTGATGCTCCCAAGCGACGCAAATTCAATGATACCACCCCCCCTGCTTCCCCTTCGGAAGATCACGATGAATATAATTTGTTTCAAGATTCCAGCTTGGAATCGGAAGATGAAGCCGATGCTTCTACTGAAGAATCGGATGATGATGATGACCACACCAGCATCCTGTAAGTGTGATAAAAAAAAATGAATGGGTACCTGCTGGCTACTCTTTATTTGGGAGAGTACAGCAGCTGGATTCCACGCGTAACACAAACTTACTTTTTATAATACCCAGTGTGGCTGCTTCCTCACCTAAACTGCATCAGGACATTTTTGACCACTATGGAAACAAGAACAATGCCTACTTATCACCATCCGAAGCTCTGTTTGACGATTCAGATGTTTACACGTCAGAGGAAGAAGATGAATCGTCTGATGAACGAGAGCATGAATCCGTCCGAAAACCTCAAGTGGCTACTACTCTCCCCACCGCCACTCCTACTACTACTACAGTGACTGCAAACCCCATTGCAGAGGAATATCAACAAACACCCCAACCCCCTAGAACTGACTTGGCCCCTCCAAGACCTACGGAAAACCCAACCATTTTTCAAAAACTCACCAAAGCGAACATCGATTGGTGCCGGTACTGTGGCACCACCGAAGGTGTCAATTGGCGTCCTGGACCTTGGGGTAAACGCACCCTTTGCAAGTAAGTTGCTGGGAAAGGTTTTTTTTTGTTTCCATCGTGAAGTCAGTTATACTAAACGATGTCTACAGTAAACACGGATGCGATTACAAAGGTTACGGATTCGCATGCAAACTTCCACGTCTGGATCTGACTGGGTTCTTGCATGAAAACATCAACGATCGCGACAGACCCGTTTTGCAATTGTTCTGTGCGTGCTGTCAACAACAAGACTCCTACATTGACAATGTGATGGTTCGTTGCGAAGGTTGCCCTAAGGCTGTTCATCAACAATGCGGAAGCCTGAGTCAGGAGTTTGTCGCCTCTTCTGAACCCTGGTTCTGCGACAATGCATGCAAAGAAAACTCCAAGAAGAAGCGAATCATCGTTGAATTGCCTCGCAAACGCTTACCTCTCATGAATGCACCAGCTGGAAGAGCAGCAGCTGCTGCTGCTGCCGCCGCCGCTGCAAGCGCTACAAAATAATTCTTTCCAAAAAGTATATCACATTTCTATGACCCTAATGCATCGATCTTGATGCCTTACGGCTATTTTACCTCTTTGTTTCCAAAACCACCTCTTCTCTTCCAAATATTACCTCTCCACTTTGATTTACTTCAGTACTCTTGTATAATAGCTACTATTTCCTTTTTTTTGTTCTGTTCTTTATCCTTCTATGCACGCTTTTTTCTTCGTTTTTCTATTTCTTTGACTTGTCAGTGCGAGGTTGTTCTCTCTCTCTCTGTCTGTATTTCCTACTAGCTGTATATATGCAAATTACCGTTCCCTTGTTTCTCCTAAACATAGATGCTTTAAAGAAATCATTACAAAAAAAAACAAACAACTATTAAAAGTCTCAAATACACTTGACAATCAATCGTTTGCTCGTGGGTTTTCTGTCTTCCTCAGTGTTCCCTAACGGGGTTTCCCCCAAGTTACACCGGCAAAAAGAGTTCCATCGTCTGCCCACCAAAATGCTTTTGAGTTCCCGCCCTTGTGCCGCTGTGCGACATTGATTCCACTGAAGCAAAAAGGTTTAGGTGACACTCACACAAATTATGGTGAATGAAACTAGATTGGGAAGGATACCAGGTGAATCACTACCACCCGCAGGGAAGCCAGCCAGCCGCTGGAGCTTGGACTGAGCAGCAGCGAGATCTGCCTCCAATAGTGTGTCGTTTGGTTATATCGGGTATCATTTTCCGTTGGTTCGCACTAGGACGTCGATTTCACGTGCAGAATGGCCTGCGTACCAGATACTATTGCGTTATCTTTTCTATTCTTTCCCCCGTTTTTCTTTGGCTAGTGAATCGTTCCGGTTAGACAAGGAAACTTTGTATCATGTTCGTCTCCACATAAACCTAATCCCCCTTTGAAAACAGGGACACTCCACGCCAAGCATGGCAAAATGAGAGCATGGCAAAAGACCACGATGTGTACACGTGCGCATCCATTTCATGGTGTCTATTTTCAGTCTCCAGATAATTACTTTCTGGTGTAGTGTTGCAAGAGCGGAGGACCATTTTACAAGTTGCAATAATTGCAACTCCCCTCCAATTGAGTTTCAACTCTAACCCATTCATCGTCTTACTTTCACACCCCACCCGATATCTCAATCCGACAATCCATTAGGTGCGCCGAATGGGCATATATCGGTATACAATAGACTATATCACAACGGGTTAAGGCAAATAAAAATATGAGGGAAGGGGAGGCTTTTGGTGCGTAGAAAAAGAAAAAGATACGGTGTGCGTAGAGGGCATAAATAAGAAAGAGGTTCACTCATTCTATGGTAAATACATGGATGGAGTCCAAACCTACAGTCTGTACTGATATAGAAGGGAAGGGTATATATCTATGGCAAAGGGGTTGAATGGGAGAGGGTATTCTTTTAAAGGTATGTTTCTTTTCTCTTTTTCTGGATGCAATGGGATCGCTCAGCTTATTGGAAATTCTCAAAGTAACTTCCACTCATGGCGCTACCAGGTCGTTCAAATTCAGCCCAGCGTGACTTAAGCTCCTCTACACTGCCACTACTGTAACGATGAGCCATCTTCGCCTGTGAGGATTGGGTATGAACTTGAGCCAGTCGTTCAAATACAGTGCCATTGGGGGTCATAGCCCGCTCGTTGGTACTGCCGTTGGAAGCCACTGAATGGTTGGGACTTGTGGCGCTAGGTGGTCGGCGAAAGCTTCGCTGGTACGACATGGTTGCGTAAGGTGACGGTGGGCTCATGATATTACTCTCAACTGTGGTGGCATGGGATAGTTCTCGAAACGAAGGTCGACGCCGTGACGTAGAAAGGATGGGTTGTTGCTGTAACGACTGGGCACGTCGGCGTGATGGACTCGTCCAGCTTTGTACGGATGTATCCGATGTGATAGATGATCGGCGAAGGTGACCACTGTGAATGGATGAACTGGATGAATCTCGATCGGCAGCATATCGAGTGAACTCGTTGGCATTCATGCTAGTAGGCTGACCGAAATCCGATTCAGATCGCTGATGCATGTGCTTTTGAGCCATGGCTATGAGTCGATCAGGTGAGGGTGTAGGACTACGAAGATGTCGCATATCCATTGAAAACGTACCAGTTCGTCGAGTCGGTGACATGAGAGGTGGGGATAGTATTGACTCGTCACTGAGGTTGGGTGATCCATGGCTACTGGGAGTCTGTTCACCTATTGACTCTGGGGACATCATGGATCCTCGTATGCCATTGGCATAGATCTTGTCAAAGATAGTATTGCCCATTTGCATGGATGCTTCGATTTTGCTTCGGAGCGCTGCAGCATCATCCTCATTGACCACTGTGTTCCCACCATTGGCAAGTAGCTTTTGAATCTGATGCTCGTTTTTCACGGTCGTTGATACCGCCACACGCTTCATGACCAATAGAGTGCGTCGTAAGTCACTAACAGTCTTTTCCAAGCTTTGAACCGTCATCTGTCGAGCAAATTCTTCCATGCGAAGCATCATGACATCTTCTGTCAGCGCTTGAGCTAGTTTTCGACTTTCGTCCACTTCTAATGTTTTGATGAGCTGCATGGAAGTATCATAAGCCATCTCAGGTCCAGCATTGTAGGGTAGAGAGTATTGATCTTCAAGCGTATCAATATCGGCCCAAGCTTCCTTGTTGGTAGGTGCAATGATTTCGTCGGCAAACGTGACATGCTTCGTCATTCTCTGCCTCTGAGCAGCGGCGTCCAGGGCTGAAGGGTCTTGAATGGCATCATTGGCAGCGTCATGTTGAATGGCTTTGATGCGAGCGCTCAAGTAGGCGATTTCGGCCGATACAAGCTCAATGCGTTCATCTAGATAGGCAGTGGCAGATGTGTTGACCTCATCGTCGGTTTCCATGGCTCGCAGTCGCTCACTAGCCAGAAGTTGCTCACGCTCAGCAGTTAGTTCCGCCTTGTCTTCAGCAAGAGCCTCTCGTTTGTACAACAATTGTTCCATTTCAACAAGGGCCTGCTTGCCTTCAATGTATTTGTACAAGGCCATATCCAAAAGTTCCTTCTTCTTGGCCACACGAACTTGAATAGGGATAGGGTTGTGTCGTTTGGGTGCCTTACTGTTCTGTCTTCTTGCTGCTGCAAATGCAGATCGTCCTCGTGACATGATGGCAAATCTGCCTCCAATGACGCCGGTCACCTTACTCAGTAAGCGTTCATCCAAGACACCTCCTTCTCGAACGGCCTTCTTTAGCACATTGACCAAGTGCTTGAGTTGTTCGTTGGACATCAAAATTTCTTCATCTCGTCGTTTAAGCGTCCTTCGTTGAGATTCATGCTCTCGCTCTAGTCTTTTCTTTGCAACACTAACTTCAGCTTGCTTTCGACGAAGAAGTTGGATTTGTCGTTCTTGTGCAGTGAGTTGCTCTTTAACTCTTTCTGCATCTTGTTTCATTCTCTTGATCATACGTCTCTTCTCAACTTTGAGGGTTTCGACATTGACTTTAAGAGTACGAAGCATGGATTCGTTCTGGTTTCGAGTAGATTGCATGGTTCTAGCTGTTTGAGAATACTTGCGACGAAGATCCTGTGTTTCGGCAAACAGCCGTTTCATCTTGGCTTCGTACGCATGTCGAACTTCCAAAATTTGTTGCTTATCCTTCAACTGGGCTGCAGCATCGGGTCGACCCACATAGTTAGGTGTAGCACGGCGAAGCGCTTGATCACGCTCACGTTGAAGCTCGTTCATAGCATGTTGCTGAATGGCTAATTGTTCCTCAAACTTTTTACGCATAAACGTGTATTGCATCTCTGATTTCTCCAAGTGAGTCACTAACTCTTCCTTGACTTGAATATCACTTTGAATTTGGTGCAGCATACGCATCATGTTGGGATTATAATTGACATCACGTTGAACATTAGCGGGCTGAATGCTGATATCGTCGGATGAATTTCGGCTATGTCCACTATTTTCAGTTAATATAGGTGACCCGGTGAAATTTCCATCGTCTTTCCAAGTGGGAACCTCCTGTGAGAAGACGTTAAGATGGCGTAATGATTAGACTGCGAGCGAAAGTGAAGTTGTTAAAACAGGGAAAAAATAACCAGAAAAAACATCGTACCAATTTTTCTGTTCCTTCGAATAATACTTTGTCCCACTCTCCATAAGAGGAGGCAGTATGCTCTCCAACTTTAAGGCTGGAAAACAGTTCGTCGGTGGATGATGTATCAGAACCAGCATGGTCCTTGCGCTTGTGGTCAGCATGGAATTCATTGAACTCGTCTTCCCAGTTGTGACCATTTTGCTCTTCGTTTGGCTACATCGATAGGTTAGTTCATCACCACAATACACAGTTCTCATTGATGAGTTGCTGCTTACATGAGTAGACTGCAATACAGCCATGCCCTTAATGATTTCTGTCCGAGCCTTTTCTATGCTGCTCTTGACACCTCGAGAAATTTCACCAGTGGTTCGCTGATAGTCTTCCATTTCATCACTATCACGGCTGCCACTGTCAACATCAATACCTTCGTCGTCTGTGTTTCGGTTCTTACCATCCTGCAAGTAGGCAGGAAGACGAGACTTGGCGGTGCTGCTGCTGTTGCTAGGGCCCATACGTACTTTTCGATGCTTGCGTCTATACTTCTTTCGATACGTACTGGTGGATGAACTGAGTTGAGTGCTGGGTTCTGGATACCGCTGACCCATATACATATCCTTGCTGGCTGCTGTCGAGAACAAGTGGCTGGGGTTACCAGCCAGAGATGTGCTGGTTGAAATGGCATTTGCCATGGATAGAGCATGCATCATTGGTGCCTTTACACTCTCCAAGAAGGCCAATCGATCTTGCGTATCGGTCAACTCATTCTTGAGACTTTGGATGGTGGAAACATAATGGGCAATAACGGGATGCGTTTTGATCGACCCGTTGCTGGTGGGTGGCTGCTCTGGGTTGGAAACTTCAGATGGGGTGCCGATCAAACCTTCTGAACCGATCAAGTCGTCCAAATCGGACGGCATGAAGTTGCCTAGCTCGCGTTCCATAATAAGTGTATCACGTTCACTTGTTGTTTGTAGCAACTCAGTAGACATTTCTTGCATACGTTCGCGCAAACGTACAACTTCTCTTCGTAATCCACGACTTTCCTCTTCACGAAGGTGACCTGATATTGGATCATGTGATCCTCCATCACTACGTAGAGCAGCATTCTCCATTTTCAATCGAGCAATCTGTGCACGTAGTTGGTTGACTTCAATGGAGCTTCCAGCAAACTCTTGGTTAATGGTGACTCTATTTTTGATGTTGCGGGCACGGTTGGCGTATTTAAGGGTATTGAGAGTCTCCATGAAATTGGTATCGGCGGGAGAAATGCATGCTAGCATTAAAGTTTGAGAATTGCCACCAAGAGAGTCTTGTAATAATCTTGTTAGTTTTGAATCACGGTAAGGAACATGGGCAGCTCTACGAGATTCGTCTCCCAGGGCGGAGATGACATTGCCAAGGGCTAACAATCCCGAGTTGATAGATATTCCTTCCTTTGCTCTATCACCTTGCGCATTGGTTCTTTTGAGCTAGATGGAGAAATAAAAAAGTTTATGAACAAGGGGGTTGCGTTAGTTGGGTAAAAAGGCAGTAAAAGGTACAGGAGGTCAGGATACCATGAAAACAAAAACGAGGTCATCAAATACATACTCTTTCAGAACCAGCCAGATCAACAAAGTGAAATTTGCTAATCAAGCTGGAAACTTGATTAGTGTTCTCTTCTGTTGCTTTCGATGGTGACTGTTGCTTCAAAGTCACTGTAAAAATGGCATGAGACCGAGATGACACGGCATTCATGTCAGTTGAACCTGTGGTTCTACATAATGAACCCTTTTGCAGCAAGCTTTGACGGGGAATGTAAGTCACGAAATCACGGACTCAATATAAAGGGGGCTTGCAACGCAACCTACCTCAAAAGCTCCTCGGGATCCGCACAGGGTTCTTCCCTTACACCACTCCAATAAATATTGCCAAAAACATCTTCGCGGATGGAAACTTCGATTGAATCAGGTGGAGGCATGCCAAGCGCTGAGCGTCGTCGCTGGTTGGGTTGGCGATTAAGAAGATCGATCAAGTCTTCATTGTAAAGTTCAAGAAACGAGACCGAGACTTGATACTGGAAGTCAGGCGATTGCGATTTCTGTGCTTCCATTTGTTGATACAGATCGGAGATGAATCGAGGCACAATTCCTTGCTGTTCGCGATGGATCCCATTATCAAAACTGGTTCCCATGGAATAAGTTTTTCCTGAGCCGGTTTGACTTTCATTGACAGAAGGTGAATAAAGAATGATACAGAAGGGAATGAAGTAAAAAAAGAAAAAAGGTGTCTTACCCATAGGCGAGGATGGTAACATTGAATCTGCAGCACACGGAGCATTTTTTTTTTGGGTTTCAATTGATTGTAAGTATAGTGACGGGTGTCTGAAAATGTAAAGAATACGTCGGGCCTTACCCGTCTGTGAACTTCTTTAGCAAAGGCTGGGCGCAATCTGAATAAACTGATTCCTGTGTACTTTGACCAGGGAACACATGGTCGAATGTGAATGATTTGTCGGTACCAATCAGAACCTGGGGTTCATCAGGGATATAAGCAATGCATTCTGAGCAATTGCTCAGCTGCTCTTTTTCTGTGAGCGGTCGGACACGTAGAGCGACTCTGCAGGGGATCAAAGTGAAGGATAGATTAGTGAGGGATTCCTCAAGTCTAGATGCTGGCGAATGGATCGAATGTGGAAACGGCGATGTAAAGTGGAATAGCACGTGTACCTGACGGCCGTTGATGACATTGAGATGGCGATGGACTGGTAAGGTGTCTGCTATTAAACGATAATAGATAAAGATAATAGGTGTATCTCAACAATAATAAAATATATTAGAGAAAAATAAAAGAGAAAAGTGGAAACTTGCTAAACCGTAGGTATCGTAACACAAGGAGTAGGTGCCTTTGGGCTGTCTGAAAAGTCAACCTGGGCACAGAAAAAACCCTTTGCTGAATACAGGCAACCCGAATCAGAAGCACTTGCGTTCCCGTGCTTCCGAGTTCTTATTTCAATATCACCGCTTTTCTTTCTTAACAACAAATCAACAAGTCGCGTCTCATGATGTCGAACTAGCCACCCCCTTCGGTTGGAATTGATACTGTTTGTTATTTATTATGTAGGAAAAGGAATGCTTGTTGCTTATTTACAGTTGCGATCCAATTCTTTTCAATCTCGTTCATCCTGAGCTAAGTAAATCAGTGATGGGAAGTGAACTTCTTGCCGGTACTGTATCGTCTTCCGTATCCACTTGCATTGCTTGAGGAGGCGGAGTTTCTGACCTCGGAGCGGTCGAAGCTGGGTGCTGTGCAGGACTACCGGAATCATTGAGCCCTGGTTCCGAGCTGACGGTCCCTGCTGGTGTTGTCAACCCATTCTTGTTGGTCTCGTTGGCAGAAGGTTTGGACCGTTGAGTAGGGGGCCAGCGATATAAACGAGTGGCTTGGTGGAATATATTGGCTGGGATTACCTTGGGTCCCTCCAAATCATTCCTTTTGATGTCTTCCACAGATCCATCTCTTTCAATGATTCGAAAGCTGTTACCATCTACAACTGGGATTATAACATCCACTAATTCTTGTTTGATTCCTGTTTCTGCAAACAATAACGCAATCAAGCATTGTCGAATCAGCTCATCGCTGTTCAAGTCCGATACGTGACCTTGATTTAATTTCTTGATGTCGAACAAGTCCGTCAGTAACACCAGCAGTTCAGGTTTAGGTTCCTTGGCCACAATAGCCTTAAGCCACTCATCACATTTTCTCTCGAAAGGTGCTTTAGGAATTACGCCTATAACACTGGACTGTTTCTGCTGTGAATTGTGATGTTTGTGTAGGTAATTTTGAATCACCTAGAATAGTTAAATTGCGTTTTAGATAGGTCCGTATTTCTCAGCCGTCATATCAACAACCTAGATTCTTTTTTTTTTTTTTACCTCAAGGTATGCAGTATATGCAGCTCCGTATATTTCCTTGTCATATAAGAGAACAGGCTGGTTTTTGCGAAGTTTTCGGCAGAGAATCTTGAGAGTGTTGGCATCATTGGTCACTTGCGCCAACTCAATCATAAACACCGTGTATTGATGTGCGTATTCAAAATGCTTTCCTGGTCTGTATATGGTCATAATAAAATAAGCATAAGCCACTTAACTCAAGCACTACCCAGCAATGTACTAACCGTTCAAATCCTGGTTTCCATATGCTAATATGCGACTTTAAATTGGACTTGAGAGCAAATAAAGGCATCATATCAGCTTTGGCTTGCTCAGCATCACGATAAATGTAGTAATGCATCCAGGCATGCTAGTGTTAGAAAAGGGATTGATTAGCGACAGTACCCGGGAAATGTTAAGTAGATCGATAAACAATGCATACTCTGAATATAGGTCGATGATGCCAGTGTCTCCTGTCGATTTTTCGAACCATGGCTAATCGGTCGAAGATCAATTGATAAGCTGCAGCTTCTTCAGACTTAAGATGAGCGATACTATGAGAACTTTGAATAGTTTTAGTTGTTTCTTCGTGCTCTTCATGTTCTTGTTCGCCATCTACAGTGTCGTTGTCATGATGGTGATCTGAGTTTTGGCTCTCGCGATAATTGGGAATCTCTGCAGTATTATTATTCACTGATTCCTCATCGTGGTTAGCTGAATGGTCCATCATGTCGCTATCCTGCTTCTCTCCATCATCCTTGTCGCTCTCCTCAAGATAGCTAGCCACTTCATTAGGCTGAATAGCCGTTAGTATATCAACAACGATGCTCAAAATGATACTGTTTCATGTCACAAACTTACTTGGATCTGATGACGATACAAATATTTGATCAAGACAGCGCATAGTTTGTATATAGGTTCTAAAATGACTTCGTGATGTCCATGTTGGCCAAGAGAAGGTTTACAGCGGTCTACGGATTGTTTATACCAAGCCAGCACCTCCTGCATACAGAATGATGATTTAGTTAGATGATCTTGATGCAGGGACTACAAGTCACATCATTTTTTTTTTTTAGTAGTACCTGCGGGGGACGTTGCAGTTTCCCATAGCATTTTCCAATCATGAGGAATAGTCGCCATGCCACTTGATTTGGTATTGATTGCTTCAAAGCTCTGGAATACATGATCAGGGATAGTTTGTATCCATCTCGTTGGGTCGGTTCACGGTGCTTTAACGAAATTCGTGAACCATCCTCGGTCATGCCAGCTTTATCAATTTTCACCTTAAATGCTTCCATATTCATGGGTGGACAGCACATGGAATAAAGCAAGTTTCCAAAGTCATAGTATAGATTGAAAAGCCTATGTTGTTCACTTGGATGATTGGGGTCCTTTTCGTTCCCATCTTGTATTTGCTGACTTATTCCCAGGTAAATGGCCTGCATGAAGCAGTGAAACGCTTTCTGTAGTCGAGAGTAGATCTTAGCGTTAATGCTCCTTGGAAATGAAATCTCAACTTTTTCACTTACAGCCTGGTATTCAGTTATTCGGTCCTTGTGAGTGATAATATTGGAGGCACTCCAAATAAGTTCTTCATCAGCCAATTGCATATAACAGCTACCGATGGCATACCAAGCGCTGAAGCTAAATGGTTGGAGATACAAGTGATTCTGATGATGAAACTTGTCTTAGCATATGCATATTAGTTGGCAAGTCAAGTTGTGCAACTTACCAAGTACTGCTCCACCGCATCATCAAGATTTTCCATGGTCTTCTCAGCATTCACTTTGGAGCGATACTTAATTTGTGCTTGATACATCTTTCCTCGAATCCAGTAAATGTTAAAATACACAGCTATACATGGGAGTACCCATTTGAATGTAGAAGGTCAGCGTTATGTTACTGACATTGTTGAAGTCGTCACACTATTTGTACGTACATGGAACTTCACTCTGTCTTGTGTCCGCAATATCAATCACATTCAAGGCACATCGACGACAAAAGTTTTCCAAAGACGATTGGTACTCGATAGGTGAAGCGAGATAGTCATTGATAATGTTTTGGTTTAACTTCACCAAAGCTGTATGAGTTTGAGGGGGAAAAGCTTGAATAAACGTATTTCATTTCACCAATATCAATTCAGATATGGACTCACGGATATCTAGAGGAGGATCACCAAACTCTTGGGCGACATCATCGATCACTTCTTTCAGATCATTCTTAAGCTGTGTGCCTCGGTCTAATTTGTCGATAATTGATGGCACCAGAAGATCAAACAACTCTCCAGCTGCTTTTCGATCCATCTTTCTTGGGACAGCAAAGTGTTCTTCAATAGCATCGGTGTCGGTCTGTATATAAAACGTCAATTCCGCTATACACGCTACCGAAAGATATTGATCAAAGCGAAAATGTATATATTCACTTACCCCAACATTAACATTATACAGACAGTAGTAGCACTGGAAAAGGCTCCGCTTCGAGATTGTCTTCTTGTTAAGGCGCAGGGTATGCAAGGTTTGCTCCAAAAATTTGCCTGTGGAAGCCATGTTAACAATCTGCACAAGGTATAACAGTGTGCACGGCTTCTCCGTTTACCTTTATCAGCGCCACAAATCTCACGTTCACCAAGGTCATCGTGTACATCTGATAGCAACTCTGCAAGCTGCTTCTGCGTTTCATTCACTACGTCTGAGTTCTCGATCTCGTTGGCCGTATATTGTCGAATCATATGGGAAACCCACACCCAGAGACGAACCATGAGAACATTGAAGCCATTGGACTTTGTGGTGGCTGACGGAGCGTGTATAGGAGCTTCAGGGTTAACAAAGTTATTTACAAGTGGTATAAAATCAGGGTGGCGGAACATGTACTGTGAAGTCATATGCAAGAGTAACAGGTTGGTCTTCAAAAAGACACTGTTATTTTTTATAGCAGGGAAGTCTAGAGGAACAATTACAGCTGATCGATTAGCATGATTAACAACTGTTTGTAGCCATAGATTGATGGGCTTACCGTTCGTATGCTCTCCAGACGAAAGTTTTATCAGTTCATTCAGGGAATAATTGATCTGTATGGAGGGTTTGAATGAGATATGACGTGAACAGTATTGCCACCATTGCTGATAAGAAAATGAAAATATACCATGCTTAACATCCTGACCAGCTGCTGATTGTCCTGAGATTTGGTATTGGTTTTGTCGCTTACATACGAAGAACATCCATGGTTAATCAAGGCTTCCGTAAAATGGACCAAACTAGCCATCCGACACTCCCAAACTTTTGAATGTTGGCCAAGTTTGCCATAAGACTGGTGACGAAGAATAAGTAAGAGCAAAGATTCATTCGTATTAAATACTGTGGCAAAAAATGCTACATTACCTTCGCTAATAGCTCTAAAGATTCGTGCTGCTCCTCAAGTGTCTTTGCGAATGCACTCATGTCGCTGTGAGAAATGAGTGGTTGCAATCTGGATATAACGCCCTCGTAATCTTCCTCAGCATATCTCTCCTTCGCATCCAAAGTGAAACGAAGCATGTCTAGCGCCTTCAATCGCAAGGAAACAGAATTCTGATCTATTGTTGCATCATATTGGCTTTGGAGAGAATGGATCCGTCAACCAACAATTCCTCGTCAGTCTAAGGAAAAGCATATTTACTTACCAGTTGGTGAGGACAATCAATGATTCATTTTCAGGCGTAGTTGATTGAAACGCTTTAAGACAGCGATGAAACCATGCGAGAGCCTCTTTCGCTTCTTCTTGCACCTGACAATACCTTCCGCGCAACCACCAAAACCTCAAAACAACGTTCGTATTCCAGGAGTCGAACTTGGCAAGATTGGGCGACTCACTATACAGAGCTTGGGATGCTGGTTTCCATATAACGAGCCTTTCGAATACATGGGACCATTGTTGTGCTAGCTCCAGCATCTCCTTGATGGACGCACTGTTAGCTTCGCTACGGAGACGAAGATCCTTGGCTACGGCTAACACGCCACCTTTACGCCTGTTGGTAGCCGAGAGTGCATTCTCTACAGCCAGCCTTTCAGATAATACCATGTGAATTGCTTGATCCAAAGCGAGTTCCGCAATATAGAGGGCAATATTAGAGGCGTCGTCGGTTGATAGATTGTCTTGTGGATAAGAAAGAGCTTGAATGAAGTTATCTCCAAGTGCTTCAACAAGATCAAGTGTGGTTGAGCGAAGGTCTGCATTAATGGGGACGAAGGCTGGTCTTTTCAGAGCTGTTCGTTGTAATATTTCCAGAGCAGCCTGGCAGAGAACATCCAACAATCCATATTGATTTTGATTGACAGAGTCTAGGAAATGCATAACGTCGATTTTGGTTTGGTCCACATCGGGCGACAGGGTGGCCAAGTTCAAAGTTTCTAAGAATACCGCGTACCGACGAAGATTCGAAGCGGACGTTGCACCCCTGTCAAAAGATTGTCAATTTTACGTGCATAGATGCTAAACATAATGTAATTACATACTTTTTCTTTGTTACTTCATTTCCCTTGATGTTGAACTCCAAGTCCCATGTTGCTGTTCCTACCAACTCAGAGAGTTTCATCTCGAACCATGTACTAAACGTTTCCTGTCGTAGTTTATCATCAGCGTTATCTGGTTGATTCCATCTCTCCGTTCGTTCAAGGGAAGGCAATAAGCCAGTAGCTTGCAACATCTCCTGAATTTTATTGCTGAGCTCTTGTTCTTCGTGCTGTACTCTCTTGCGTGTCGACTCTTCATGCTCAATCTTATCACGCTCGCGTTTCGAAGCACTGAATATATATATCTGAGTGTTGGTGTTCACCAGTGATTCAACAAGGCACTTGACAACTTACCGCAATGACGATCGCGTTATCTCTGGACCTTCGTCTTCGTCACTACCTTCATTTTCATCTTCCATCTCATCGAACTTTCGCTTTTCACCAACTTGACTGCTGGATTGTGTAGCAGCGTCTATATCCATTGATGTGTCACCATTTAAGTCTGTAGGTTCTTGTTCAGGCTGATCGGCTATCTTATGATCATCCTCAGCTTTGGAATTTTGAAAGTCTGTGTCGGTAGCTGATTCTGCTTCATGTTCGGTGGCTTTGACCTCATGTTTGGTGTCTATGTTATCGTCATTCTCCATAGTGTTCTGGTCATCATCTTGTATTGCGTCGCTTGTTTCTTCATCCTTGTGATTGTCTATTACAACGTCCACATCGGTCTTCATTTCGTCATATTCACTTATGACTGCGTCCAAACCATTTTCATTATCTTCGATAGCTTCTGTGCTGGGAACAACTGAATTGACTTTCGATTCATCATCTCCCTCATCCTCCACAACCGAGTCGTTTGGTTTCGTTAGCTGAGTTGGCAACTCGTCCATGTCGACCAGCATATTATTGGTATTATTCAAATTCTGATCAATTGTTGCTTCATTTTCTTGATCAACAGTAGTTGTTTCATTACTTTTTTCGTCCAGCGAAATGATGATTTTTTGGTTCACGAACAAAGTAAGGTGACTTTTGTTTTGAGATGGATGCTCGCTAGTAAAGGGAAGCACTGGGATTTCTCTAACAATATCAAAGTACTGATCCAGCAGTACATGACAAAGATCAGCCCAAGTGGTCCTCGTCAAGCTCAAATCTAAAGCATTCGAGATGAAGCTATTTTCAATTTCATTACCTAATGATATTGGTCAATACGATTAAACTATCGTCTTTGCCAGTCAGATCTCGTAACTTACTATCTAATTGCATGTTGTCCGCATTGACCTGGACTTCGGATCCGTCGTATGCTTTGGACTGTCTGATACGCTCCATCATGGTATCTCCGTATTTCCATTGACCCAATTGTCTCATAACATTCTCGTAATAGTATTCACATGTTGCGTGGTCTCCGATTTTCAGCAAGGTCTAGTCACAGAGATTGAGCGAAATGTAGCAATTCCAGTACTTGACTAAAATACAAGCCTACCTCACATAAACCTTCTAAGCACCACCATTGACTGGGACTAAATCGATCAAAAGCTAATTCATCCGGGGGAGTGGAGTGGATAATGGAATCCGGATGAATAGCGTCGCTACCTTGTGTATTCCAGGAGCTTTGCAGTAATAAGCCATTCCCAAATGCAAGCTTTGCCAGTCGCATATTTCCGATGGCACGCGCTAATGTGCCTGTGTGGTACCAGAGCATACGTGCGGATGGATCGATTGAAAGTGCCTGAAAAACCAATGAGTTAATGGGGGGTGTATCAGAATTTTGTTGAATTTTCGAAGATTGCCGTTCACTACATACGTTGATATAATGATCCAAAGCTTTTTCAGCCAATTCTTTCGGCTTTGCAGCGTCATTATTGTACTCTTCTTCCAGAATTGAAGCATAGTTCTTAAACACTAGAAACTGAAGTAATGCTAAAGGTGTAGCCATCGACACTGTAGCTGACCCCTCCACATCCAATTCTTTCGGAGCTTGCTATATGCGGGTAATAGACATGAATAAAGACATCCATAAAGACAGCACAAATGGTGAGCAACATACCGTCAGCGGTGTCTGTCGCATGACTTCGTTCTCTAGTAGATCATTGTAAAGCTTTTTGGCCTCGACCAGTTTTCCTCGCTGATGCAAACGCAAGGTTCGCTGATATTTTTCGAGACAGCGTTCAATCTATGTTTTCAAAATGTCGTCAGCAACTATGTAAACTAACAACACAGTGGTCCACGCCGCGTACCTGGACTTCTTTTGGATCCTGATCATCAACATGGCGAGTATCGTTCAATGTTGCCCAGCGAATTTGTTGCTGTAAATAGGATGAAGGTGGGTGTCAACGAATTAGGAGTAAAATGGCCAGTAGTATGTGGGACACTCAATCTTACCACCATGGTTGGCGAACCCAGCTATCGTCGAAAGCGCTTTGGGAGCACCACTTCCACAGTTTCAATCCAAACCGAGTTGGCCAGTCACAAGTCGATCTGATTATGGTAGAGGCTGAGATGAGTGACGGACGTGTATAAGATGGGAAACACGACACGACTTGATCTATTGAGCCGTTTGGTGTCAAGTCTAATAATGTGTGTATTTTTTATGATGATGCGGTTGTAGTAGGTATCCCTTAGTTCATACTGTAGGTAGGTCTTAATTACACAGTCGATGGCATCAATGAAATTTTTCAAGCAACGCGATAGGCAGTCCGAAATCATTTCGTCAAACAGGAAGCTCACACCAGCTGCATGTCCTGACCAGTTATTCTTAATTGAGATTGTATAGAGTTATGGTTATAATGGTACATTTAGTATTGATACAGTGTACTATTGCGAGGCTGATAGCGGTTATCGAGTGAGTGAATATGGTACATGATGTGTAAGATTGTACACAGGAGGAAGAGCTATTGTGTTATTTTTTTTAATTAGAATCTTTAGGTGCTTCCATTCCTTGCGGCCAAGTACCGTCGCGTTTCCATCCGCAAACAATAATATCAATCTAAAATTACATATAAACGGAAGGTAAATGACACTTTCTTTTCACCAAGTATGATTTATCGGGGATGTACTCACCACGGCAGGTAAAGGTAACGGCCTGGCAAATTTTCGACGCTGGTATATGAGAGAATCATAGATAGTGTGCATTTTTTGTATGGATTGTAGCTCTTGTGGAAGCAAATATGCAGATCTTCTTGCGTTTGCCGTTGGTTGAGTCCAAGCTTTCCGCCTCGCATGCCAGAGCGCTAATCCCTCGTTTTCAACTCTCTGATCTCCTTTTGGCGCCGCTGTTTCGTCTGTTGGCATAACAACATCTATGTCGTTGACATCGGACGAACTTGAATCGTCATTGGTTGATTTAATCACGCTTGGATCCAAAGATGTCATTGAAACAGGAGTACTCATGTTCGAATTTCGAGTGATCAACGAGAAGGCTCTTTTAAGACAAAAAATTGAAAAATTGAAAAAATTGCCAGTTTTGGTGGAAAGTGGTTTGCGACATTGACATCAAACAATTATATCGCAGACTCTTAAGCTCTGTGCTTTTTCGCATTATTGATATGTTACAAATACCATTCCCTGTTTGAATAGCAAAATCCTGCTTTAAATACTGTGATTTGTCTTATCGTACATACAGGAATTCGACCAGGAAAGCGATTATATCAAACAAAGCTCCAACTGTCACGTGCATGTTCTCCGCACTGTTGGCAAACAATGTCAGAGCCATGTGAAATTGAGCCTTAGTCACTTCATTCGGAGTGACAAGTGCAAACCCACTCTCACTTGTACTTTTTCCTTTACTCTACTAATGTTCAAATTTAGAACTGAAGGCTACAATGGCTATTCCGTAAGTTTCCTAGTAATCTCTTCTTAGAATTACGGCTCATGCTGATCTTGCCCTAAATCTCTTCACCTTCAAACATATAGCTTCAGTGGAGCCCTTTTTTCGAGAACAAACTGGCCGTCGCAGGTTCAGCTAACTACGGCTTGGTCGGAAACGGTAGATTATTCATATTAGGAGTTGGCGTTGGACCCAACGGTGTAGCGGTGGAGAGAGTGTAAGTCTTCTTATGTTTAACTTTAGTGTGGGGTTGGTTATCACGATGCTGACTACAATAACCAGGTTTGATACCCAAGATGGTTTGTTCGATGTTGCCTGGAGTGAGGCCAATGAAAACCAACTAGTAACTGCAAGCGGCGATGGATCTTTGAAGCTGTGGGATACAACACTCGCTGTATGTATGCTATTTCTGATCCCCGTACCTGAAGCGGCATTAGCTAAAGTTTTTTCGTTGGTATCTAGGACTTTCCCATACAAAATTGGCATGAGCATCAACGAGAGGTGTTCTCAGTAGATTGGAATTTGATTAGCAAGGATATGTTTGTCACTGGATCTTGGGACCATACTATCAAAATTGTAAGTTCGGAACGGCTACATATACGAGATGGTGATGTTAGTGCTAACCTAATCAAATCAATTAGTGGCGACCAGAAATGCCTCGGTCTCTACAAACATGGACTGAGCACACACACTGCGTCTACAGCACAGCATGGTCCCCGTATAACCCATCGATGTTTGCCTCCGCATCGGGAGACCAAACGGTAAAGATCTGGGATATTAAGAGCCCGCGATCTATGCAAACCATACATGCACATACCAATGAGATTCTGTCTGTGGATTGGAATAAGTACCAGGACAACACAATTGTTACTGGATCAGTGGACCATACAATCAAGGTTTGGGATTTACGACGACCTGATCGAGAAGTTATTTGCCTACCCGGCCACGAATATGCCGTACGCCGAGTAAAGTGCTCACCGCACAAAGGAAATATCATTGCAAGTGCAAGTTATGACATGAGTGTCAGAGTATGGGATATGGCTGCACCGGTTCCTATGGTAGAACTCCATGATGCACATACTGAGTTTGTTCTCGGAGTTGATTTCAATTTGTATGTCGAAGGACAAATTGCAACCTGTGCCTGGGATGAAAATGTGCATATCATGACCCTTCCTTCGCTGTTACGCCGATAATTTACTCCTCGGTTATTTTGTTTTTTACGTGTATTATAAAATGTATGCGTAAAGGTGTTTAGACGAATTGAAATATTGTACAAATGAGATTAATTAAAATGCTGTATGCTGATACATTATTCGACATTTGCTGCTGGGGAGTTGCTTGGCTTTCAATACCGACGTGTCATTCTATCGCAGCGAAGCTTGCAGTAGATCCAAGGATTTATTGATTGCCTTTCTGCAAAGGTAGCCAACATCAGCATATTATGGTTCACTTTGTCCTATTTGTTTTTGTTTGCTTACATTTGAGCGGATACAGCGTACATGGCACCAAAATCCTTCTCAAGCTCATCGCACCGGGTAATCAATTCAAGCGTCTGTCCAATACAGGCGTCCTGTTCCTTGGCCATATCTTTAATAGTCGCGTACTGTAACGCCGTTGAATCTGCAGTCAACTTCGCATACTAATAAAAATATTCAATAACAATGTGCATATTTTGCAGTCATCCTCGAAGATGGGCAACATACCTGTGCCATGCGTTGCTGTAGGTTCAATGTCAAGGTCTGCAGTTCCTTTGTTAATTTGTGAGCGCGATCCTCAATAAATTCTACAAGCTTGGGATCAATAGGAACTGCATTTGCAATGACTAATATGTTTGACTCGTTGGTTTGTGCTTCATGAACCGTGTGATCCATAGCAGTCTTGTGAGAAAGCTTTAGTTTCTGACTTGCTCCAAAAAGGGAAAATTTGAAGCGTTGTCAGCAATGCTTTACTTCGTGTGGCCGGTGGGTAAATTTTACAAAACGGCATCTAATGCGCCCATAATTGAGTAAAGCGTTCGGAAAAACAATTTAGATATATGCCTAGTAAGAGTTGAGAGTAATGCTCTTCCGTTTCAGAAGATGGGTCGCTTCAAAACGACAAAAATCAATATTGTAAGCCAGTTTTAAGGTTGGGGGTGCAAAGATCATATAAATTAAGGCGTCACCAGCCGCAATTATATAAAAGATTGCTCCCCACGTTCAGATTCAATATCTCGGTTTCTTTTATCTCACACAACATTATTGTTCCTATGAAGCAAGATCTCAAAATTGGTGTTATTGGCGCAGGGTACAGCACGAAATACTTTTCTCCAGCGTAGTTCAATGTGCCTTTGCTAATATGGTTTCCTTCATTACACCAAATTTAGTTTTAGCGGTTTGTGCGCTGCCATTCAGGTCAAGAAGCAGCTTGGTCTCGACGTGGAGATTATTGACAAGGATTCGGATTTCGGTGGTACCTGGCATGTCAATACCTACCCTGGATGTGCATGCGATATACCTTCTCATGTCTATTCATTCTCGTTCGAACTCAATCCATGTAAGTCAAAAGCAGTCGCGTGCATTATCATCACACCTCCATTCTGAGCCATCGCATTATCCACAGATTGGTCTAGATATCAAAGCCCTCGACAGGAAATTTCTGCTTACCTACGTAGTGTGGCGGCCAAGTATGGTTTGTACCAGCAAACGAGGTTCAACACGGAGGTAGTCGCAGCTCATTGGATAGAGTCGGATCAACTCTGGAAAGTCACAGTCCGCAAAGCATTCTGGTCCGCCCATGGTGCCACGTATGGTGATACTGAGGAACTATACTACAATGTATTGTAAGTAGGATAAACCATCAGCTTACATGACTATTGACAATATCCAAAGACGAGGCGAAACGAATGTCAGCTAATGATGACGTTTATAGATTTGGTGCAGTAGGTCCTCTGATGGTTCCAAATAAACCGGAGATGTTTGATTCCTTCCAGGGCAAGGTGGTACATACAGCAAAGTGGGACAACTCGATTGATATGAAAAACAAAAGAGTAGCTGTGATTGGAAGCGGAGCAAGGTATGTAGTTTGTGAATCAAACGGCTGTTCAACCACGGCTGCTGATATGACATTTGTTATTCACCAGTGCCATTCAAACCATTCCGGAAATCGCAAAGGAAGCAAAGTCGCTTTATAGTTATCAGCGCAGACCGGCCTGGGTAGGCCCTCAGATCGGCAATTTTTACAGTCAAAGAACAAAGACCATTTTTTCATGGTTCCCGGTCTTGATGAGACTCTACAGGTGGTTAATATTCATCCTGGTAAGTACATTCCTGCTGATATCTGAAACAAGTCTTTCAATCACATTTTGATATTCTTTTTCAGCTTGATAGAAACATCAGGATCTTCAATAGACCAGAAGAATTCAACGAAATCGCAAGACAAAGATTCACCGCCTACATGACTAAAACACTCACGTCTTTAAATCGCAAAGACCTCATTGAAAAGCTTGTACCAGATTACCCTGTCGGTTGTAAACGAATTGCCTATTCACGTATATACTTGGAAGGAATTGCCCGTGAAAATGTATATGTGGAAAGGTCGCCTATTGCCGCTGTTAAAAGCAATAGCATCGTCACTGAGGATGGTGAAGAACGTGAAATAGATGTGTTGGTATTGGCGACTGGATTTATCACACAAGACTACATGGGTCCACTCCAAAGTAAGCTTACTAACAAATGTTAGTTTATTCATTGCATGCATTGACATTAGCAACTCGCAGTTTATGGACAGAATGGACTATCCTTGAAGAAATATTGGGCAGAAAATGGGTTCCCCAAAACATACAAGACCGTAACTGTCAACCAATTCCCTAACCTGTTTGTTATCCTTGGCCCTGGATCTGGCTTAGGCCACAACTCGGTGGTTATTATGGCAGAATGGTAAGCTTTCCAGCGTACAAACCCGTATAGGTTGCCCCAAGTATTAACATTGCCGTTTGATGATAGCCAGGTGAACTATGCTGTCGACTGCATTAGAAAGATGATGAAAAAGAGCGTGAAGTCCATTAACGTCAAGGCTGAGCGCGCCGAACAATTCTCTAGTACGCTAGAGCAAGAGCTTTCATCTACTGTGTGGTCTCGGAACTGCATGAGCTGGTACCAAAACGCAATGGGCAAGGTAATTACCAGATATTGTGATATATTTTCGCGTAAACCAAAAAAAATGCTAACCGGTATTTAGGTGACACTGTTGTGGAGTCGCTCGGTCACTGAGTTTTGGTGGACAACTCGCTCTGCCAATTTGCATGACTATGAACAAATCAAAGCTGTCAAACAATCTTAAGATTTACTATCGTTCATTCCCATTTGACATGAGCGACTTTTCAATACCGTTGTCATTTGCTTTTGCTATTATTCTAATGGATTAATGCTTTTATAAGACCGTGCTGCTTACGATACAAAAAAGGTGTACATTGAAATCTATGCCTTATGCGAATCTATAAACACTCTCAAATCGCTTTTGATTTTATCTAATCTATCTAGCAATCCTTGAGCATAACGTACACCTTCTCGTCGCTTCTGCCTAGCGGTTGTAAAATCGATCTCGCATGTTATGCCATCTAAAGCGAAGAGTGACTGCATGAGCTGTTCATTGATATAGGCCGACATGTCGAGTAACTTCTTTCTTTTCGTCTCATCGATTATTCCTCCAGCTATGTATTCTACCACCTCCTTGTCGTATTTTTCAATAACGGGCACAGCCGATTCCTTGAGTTTTTCAACAGTCTGAGCAATACGTAAGCAGAGACCGACTTCTTCAGGATTTCCAGACGCTGCTTCTTGAAGATCTTCCTTCTATTTGGTCGAGGAGGCGAGAAATACGGATCAATTACCAGGGTAAAAACATCATTGATATAATCGATTACTTACACCCGGGAGATGTCCATCTAATTCAACGATAGAGTTATAATGGACGCCATAGCTTGAAAGCTGCGCTGATTCGTCCTTCATGTTTGCTATTCAAACACAGATGATGATATTAATCACTGAGAGAAAAGTCGACCTATGGAAAGCAGCCATTGAAGAACATACCTCCTGATACCTTCAATTTCATAGTAGCTACTGGTACTCCTGTTGCAGTCTTGCACCTTTCCTTTAGATCTCTAAGCGTTGCTTGATCTAATCCTTTCGGGAAGTCCTTAAAGGAAATGAAGTAGGAGCTGTTATTCCACTTGAGCAATACAGTGGATTTCCGCTCATGTTTCGTAACCTTTCGGAAACCAAGAAAGGAGAGGAATGTAGACAGAAATGCCCGCCACAGGAGCAGGTATATGATGGCGAATTGCTGGGCAATAATTTTGATGAAGGGAGGTAGGACGAATGGGAAACCGGATTGAGCCTCTGGCCTGGGGTCGGGGGGACAACTTGAGGGAATTGCAAAAAGTCCGTGACTGCAATAGTTTTGGTGGGTTTAGGCCGATCTCAAGAAAATCCTCTAATTGATCCTTACAGCTCGTGCATTATGTTTTCATTTCTACGTAGAACCGTCAACGTAGTTGGTGAATCCAGCTTGAAAGGTAAGGGACAGCTGGATTACTGTTGGAATCGTGCCACGACATGTTTCGCTCATTCCTAGCTAGCTCTTCGCATGGACGGCCTTCAAGGCTGGCAGAAAGAATTACCCATGTTCACCATGAATACGTCTAAGGATCTACAACAATGGGTTATAGGCTGCGACAAGGATATTGGAGGTACATTTTCAATTGAGGGCTACTCTGCGTCTAAAGTCTATTTCCAACCCATCAATTTGTTATGCACTTAGGGTTTTCTGAAGCCAAACTCGAAATTACACCAGAAGGCGTTGGCAAATTTTCGGGCAATTTGTCGTTGGAGTTGCCAGCAAACACTGAAATACAACAAAGTGGGTATGCAGCAATAAGGTCCAAAGTACGACCTTCCTCTATGTTTGGTACTCCTTGTTTTGATACCACTCTGTTCCGGTACCTTGCCCTGCGAGTGCGAGGCGATCACCGAAAATACTTTGTAAATATTCAAACGGATGGCGTTATTCAAACCGATTTATACCAACATCGATTGTTTTTGCGGAATCCGGGTGAATGGCAAACAGTGATGGTAAGTGAAGTGCAGCCAATATAAATGCGGCAGGTTTGCCATCTATTTCTCATGCAACTTAGATACCATTTAGGGACTTTGTCCTGACCAACAATGGCATGATACAGGAAGACCAAATCGAGATGATGAGAGAAAGAGTGAAAACAGTGGGGATATCCATCACTGATCGAGAAGATGGCCCATTTGAAATTGAGCTCGATTGGATTAAGGCGATGAACACCGAAACGACGGAAGGCGACATGGACAGACGACCGAGAGAAACCACTGAAGACGAAGTTGATTTCACCAAAAGTACACATTAAGTAGTAGTAGTCAATCATGATAGATAAGTAGTCAATCATAACCAACCAAAGTGAAAAATAGAATGTCCGTTTATTTTTAAACTATCAATGGGAAAACCTTGTTGGATCAAGAGGTCATATGCTTGTAAGTTGATAATGATTTGTAACCCCCTGCTGTTTGGTTTCAGCTGGTAGCAGAACAATAGAAGCTAATGCATGAAAACGCACGCAACAACCAAGAAGTGACCTTATTGCAGCAGGCTAAAAAACATTGAGATAATCTTTCCTTTTAAAAAGCGCCTTTTCCATGGCTATGTTGACCACTTGCTTTTGACTCAGTCGTGAGGATGTGAGTTTAAACAATTTTCCATGCAGCTGTAGGAATTGAAGCTCCGTCTATATCCTTTCCATACACACACCCCAACATGTCATTCAGAGAACTGAAGATCAAGACTAATGTCGTGAAGCGGTAAGTGATCCGAAGACACCGAGGACATAGATCTCACGTTCTGTGTGGACCTTCGGAGTCTCTTTTTTACATAGAACCTGTTTACGACGCTGATGTTTCACCTTTTTATATTTTCACGGGGATCAGCATCAGCAAGGAGCAAATCTCATACGGCAAAGAATTGGAATCTCAGCAAAAGCGAATAGATAAGCTTATTGCAGACGGAGCAGACGAGGCTGATGTCCGCAAACAAAAAGAAGTATTGGAGGAGACAGTACAGATGATACCTGACGTGAAACGTCGATTGGCTGCTGCTGTTCAGGAACTCAGTACAATGGTGGTAAGGAAGCTTTTCAAAAGATGTTCAGGGTCCCTGTAAGAATTCTAAAGGGTGATCCTAAATAGGCAGATTCAAAGTATGCTGGCAGTGGCGAATTGGAAGAGGCTCGACAAGTGCTGGATGGCATGCAATGATAATAATAAAAAGAATTGTCTTGTTCATTTGGATGTTTATTTTTGGCTTACCGTGTGTAACCATGACCGGAAATCTGAACAAAAAAAAATCTTGCTTGACCCCGATCATTATTGAGACGCCTTCTAGCAACTCTTTCTCTCTCTCTCTCTCTCTTGGATTTGTTCGTTTCAGAATGCAAGAAGACGGAAGGTCAGACTTGTCCTGTCTGCTCGGCTCCACGCCTTCAGGGCCAACTGAGGAGTCCGTAACTAGTCTGTTGCAATCCCGCTTCAAACGGGATCTTCCGTATACTCGTCTAGGCCAGTCCACTCTGGTCGTTGTCAACCCCTTCAAACCTTTAGAACTTCTGAACGACGCTACCCTGAACTCCTATGCTGAAGTAGGTTATCGAGATGTATCCGGTCAAACTATTCAGCTTCAACCCCACGTTTACGACCTAGCTACCCGTGTTTATTTCCATATGCGAAGAAGCGGTGAGGATCAAAGTATCATACTCAGGTACCCTCATCAATTTATTGCGTTTATTGCCTTTTTCTTTTGTCCGCCATTCTGAACTCTTTTTTTCTTTTTTTTTCTGTCTTTTTGACAGTGGTATTACCGGTTCGGGAAAGACGACCACCCACTCCCATCTGCTCAGTGAGCTATTGTTGCTGTCAACGCATAGTAAGAAGGAGACCAAGTTACAGCAGCAGATACACAGTGCGCAGGCCATCTTGGATGCTTTTGGCTGTGCTTATACGTCTCAGAATGTTTCAGCGTCGAAGTTTGGGAAATTTCAGGAGCTTCAGTTTAACGAGCGTGGCCGCATTATCGGCGCCAAAACCTTAGCCTTTTCGTTTGACAAATCAAGAACTACCATTACACCCAAGGATGAACGCTCCTATAATGTCTTTTATTCACTGCTTGCTGGCACCAATGTCGATGAAAAGAATGTCTTGCACCTCAACTTTGTCCCTGAACATTTTACCTACCTTGCTCAATCCAAATGCATCAAAGTCCATGCTGTAGACGATGAGATCGCCTTTGGCAACCTCAAGGCAGCGTTCAAAAAGTGTGGTTTCAAAGCCAAAACAGTCATGCAGATTTTCCAGGTTTTGTCAGCCATTCTTCACCTAGGAAATCTCCAATTCATCGATACCAAAGACGCTGCCAATGGCACCCAAGATGCTGCCTCTATCAAGAATATTGAGAGTCTGGAGATTGTGGCTAGCATTTTAGGAATTTCTCCTGCTAAACTAGAAAGTTGTCTCACCTACCAACTCAAGTTTATTCGAAAAGAGCTTTGTACCGTCTTTTTGAATGCAAGTGCCGCAGCTGAACAACGAGACGACTTCGCCCAGTCACTGTATAAAGTACTCTTCCTTTGGATTGTTGAACAGATCAATACCAAGCTTTGCTACACCGATGCCAACGAACCTGCCAACTTCATTGCCATTCTTGATCAGTTTGGGTTCCAGAATTTCAGAGCCAATGGTTTCGAACAGTTCTGCGTAAACTTCTCAAACGAGCGTGTACAACAATTCATCATCAACGAGCGCTTCAACCACAGCAACACGTTGAACGAGATGATGGAGAGAGACGGTATCAAACTTCCTCAAATTGTGACTATGGACAATGCTGGCTGCCTAGAGCTGTTATGTGGAAAGGAAAAGGACAATACCCGTGACAAGTCTTCCAACTTGAGTCTGGGAGGTATCATTGGTGCCGTTGATCGGGAATGTGCTCGTTATCAAACTGGCGCTACCGATGCCACCGATGCCAACTTGCTCCTCTCCCTACAAAAGCAATATGGAACCCACCCTTCTTTTGCAAAATCTGGGCATGCTTATCAGTTTGGCATCAATCACTTCTCAGGCACTGTTCATTATGCTATGGATTCCTTCCTGGATAAGAATTTGGATGCGTTGTCCCCTGACTTTGTTAACTTGTTGCGATCATCCAGCACCAACAATTTCGTTTCCAGTCTATTCCAAAGTGCGGTTGTAGCCACAGAGTCGCACCCCAAAGACGATCGTACCATCGTCAAGGCGCAGCTCCCCACCAAACCTGTACGTGCACCTTCTATGAAGCGTGTCAAGCGTCGACCCACTTTGAACCCAGAAATGGCGTCATCTGCTATCCCAGAAGACCAAGAACTTGACATTGAGGAAGTTCAGCGACAAAAAGCCATCAAAGAAGCAGAGGAAGCATATCAAAATATGCAAGTAACCACTGTAATGGATCAATTGTACATGACTCTACGGGATTTGTTCATGACTATGTCAGAGACCCAACTTTACAATGTTATTCATTTGCGGCCTAATGATGTTCAAGCTCCCGATCAATTCGATACCAAACGCATCAAGACGCAAATTCGTTCCTTCTTGATACCAGACCTGATTCATCGTTGCTGTCCTCGTGACTTTGCAAATTATTATACCTTTGGCGACTTCCTTGTTCGTTATGAAAATCTCGTTGCAGGATTACAAATAGATACCACCCGAACAGAGCAAAGCCAAGTTGAAGCCATTTGTGCTTCCATGGGCTGGATTGAAACTCAAGCTTTTGTTGGACATGAAATGATCTGGCTAGACTTTTCAACTTGGAAAGTGTTGGAGGACGGTCTGCGTGCTGCAGAGAAGGAAGAACGACAAAAAGCCAAATCTGTATCCGGACAAACCGAAGCTCAGTATTTATCGGCGGAAAATAGACCTCGTATGGCCTCTCACCACTCTACTGGTAGTCAGGATCGATTACTTCCTCCCAATCGTGCCTTTGTTGAAGGCGCTGCGGCTGGTGCTGCTGTTGGTTCTTTTTACGATGATAGTGCCAGCTATATGGATAGCGAAGACGAATTTGCTAATTCAGCCAGAAAGCGTGCTGAAGGCAGTCAATGGGGTGAAGAATCAGACTGGGGCGGCAAAGAACTTGCCGATGCGTAAGTAGTTTTTGCAAATAGGACACTTTTGTTATCCTGTGACTCACCTAATTCATCGTGTTGGAAACTCGCAGATTTGGCCCTAATCGTGATATGAGCAAAATGATCGAAGATTACAGATACCATCAAGAAGAACACGTTGAGGAAGTCCCTATTACTGCAACGCGGATATGGTGGGTCCGATTTGTTTGGTTAATGACCTTCTGGATACCTACTCCATTCCTACGATGGTTCGGCAAAATGAAGCGCGAAGACGTACAAATGGCCTGGCGCGAAAAAGTCACTATCTGTCTCCTTATCTTCTTTTTCTCGGGTGTTGTTCTCTTTTTCATTGTTGGTCTTAGTCCAATTCTTTGCCCTGGTACAAGTACACTCTACTCATCTACGGATGTTGGTAATCATAATCAAGCAACGGATTTCTATGTCAGTATTGCCGGTAAAGTTTGGGATATCACCACTTGGATTCCTGGCCATACTAGTCACGGTGGCTCCGCCCATCCTACTGCTATCTCGGACATGGCGTCCATGGCCGGTACCGATATCTCATATACCTTCCCTCCCCCAATGACTCAAGCATGCCCTGGTCTTGTCACGAGCGATACCGTCAAGGTTACTCCCAATACTAGTGTTGTTTTGGGGTCTTTTGTACACACCTCTGGCAGTCAGCAAACAGAAGTGACTTTGACCACCCTCACCTCGGAAACTTGGTATTTCCAAAGCTTTTTGCCTGAGTTCAACAAGGACTATTTGAAGGGAGATCTCGTTCACAAAGTTCAGGACCTTAACAGTGATTTCAACTCATGGTCTCGATTGGCTGGCATCATTAACGGCAAAGTGTATGATATCACGGATTACATGACAACGGCAGCAACTTGGCCAACGGGTATTGCTGGAGTCCCCAACTATCATTATCTTGACAGCACTGTTGAAGGCATCTTCCAAAAGTTCGGCGGAGGTGATATGACGGATGCATGGAACAAGTACACAGCAGGCATGAATGCGACATATAGAGCACAGAATCTGAACTGCCTTGACAATGCCTTCTACATTGGCCGTGTGGATTACCGTGAGGACCTCCGTTGTGTCTTTGCCAACTACCTACTCCTTGCCTTTGCTTTGGTCATGTGTTCCACGATTCTTGTCAAGTTTTTGGCTGCTCTACAATTCGGTGGTAAGCCTACACCAGAAGACCACGACAAGTTTGTCATTTGTCAAGTTCCTTGTTACACTGAAGGTGAAGAATCCATCAAGAAAACCATTGACTCTTTGACAGCTATGACTTACGATGATAAGCGCAAATTGCTCTTCATCATTGCCGATGGTATGGTTATGGGAAGTGGAAACGACCGTCCTACACCACGTATTGTGCTCGATGTTCTCGGCCATGACCCTAAATTGGATCCTGAGCCACTCATGTTCAAGTCGATTGGTGAAGGTAGCAAACAGCTTAACTATGGTAAAGTTTACTCTGGTCTCTACGAATTTGAAGGTCACGTCGTTCCCTACATTGTGGTCGTCAAGGTCGGCAAGGCGTCTGAGCGCTCCAAACCTGGTAACCGTGGTAAACGTGACTCGCAAATCATCTGTATGAACTTCTTGAACAAAGTCCACTTTGAAGCCGAAATGACACCTCTGGAATTGGAAATCTATCACCAAATGAAAAATGTCATTGGTGTTAATCCAAGCTTTTACGAATATGTTCTGATGGTGGATTCGGATACGGAAGTCGAACCCGATGCTCTGACTCGTATGGTTTCTTGCATGTTGCACGATGGCCGTGTCATTGGTCTCTGTGGCGAAACAAAACTGGTTAATGAAGATAACAGCTGGACTACCATGATTCAGGTCTACGAATACTATATTTCTCATCATTTGTCAAAGGCTTTCGAATCTCTTTTCGGATCCGTCACGTGTCTTCCTGGATGCTTCTGCATGTACCGAATTCGCACTCCCACGAAAAACACACCCTTGATCATTTCACCCAAGGTTATTAAGGAATACTCAGACAATCAGGTCGACACTCTGCACAAGAAGAATTTGTTGCATCTGGGTGAAGACAGATACCTCACTACCCTCATGATGAAACACTTCCCGCAATACAAGATGAAGTTCACTCCACATGCCCAATGTAAAACTGTGGCTCCCGATCGTTGGAAGGTGTTGCTCTCTCAACGTCGTCGCTGGATTAACTCTACGGTGCACAACTTTTTGGAATTGGTCTTCTTGCCTGAGCTCTGCGGTTTTTGCTGTTTCTCCATGCGATTTGTGGTTATCCTTGATTTGATCGGTACCATGACCCTTCCTGTGAGTGTGGTGTATTTGGTGTATCTCATCTATGTCATCGCATCTGGTACTGGACCATTCCCCAAAATTGCTCTCATCATGCTGGCTGGTATCTATGCACTGCAGGCTATCATTTTCATCTTGAAGCGACAATGGCAGTACATCGGATGGATGGTCATCTATATTCTTGCTATACCCATTTTCTCCTTCTTCATTCCAATCTATTCCTTCTGGCACTTTGACGATTTCTCATGGGGTAATACTCGTGTGGTTATTGGTGATAACAAGAAGAAGCAGATTTATGTTGCGGATGACGAAAAGTTTGACGACAAGATGATCCCCCTCAAGAAATGGAGTACCTATGAACAAGAGTTGTGGGAGCTGGCTTCTAGCCGATCGGGTGAAACTGGCATAACGCAACAGACGTATCGCAGCCACCCAACTTTGTACAGTCGTGGACCCGCCGGAACTGTTTACAGTAGCCATCAGGGGGCTGGAAGTCAAGAGAACTTTGACTACTACCGCGATACCAATCCTATTAATTCCGAAAAACGGGGTCGATCTGGCAGCCCAATGAATCCCGGTGGACCTGGTAGTCGCTATGCCGGAAGCGTTATGCAAGAAGGATCGGTGTATGGAGATTATATGAGACCGAATGCATCATCTCGTGCTTACTCTGTCAATCAGGATTATGATATGATGCAAGGCGGCCGTATGACCCCGGCAGCTATGAGTGAATACGACATGGTTCCGCCCTCGAGACCTATGAGTCAATACTCCATGCCCATGTCCACCTTGAGCCAGTCAGCCAGCAATACTCCACCTGGGTTCCCTAGAGACGCTGAAATCATTGCTGAAATTAAAAACATATTAGCTACTGCTAATCTGATGAGCATCACTAAAAAACAAGGTACGTTATCAGATGAAACGCTTGGCAGCGGGGTAAGCAGAATGCATTGCTGATCTTTTTTTTTCTTAGTTCGTGAACAACTCTCTGCTTTCTTTGGTTTTGACTTGAACCCTAAGAAAGAATTCATCAACACCTCCATCGAATACATCCTCCAAGGACGTTTGTAAATGACAATTCAACACAAAAAACAAGCATGGGTGACCCTGTCGCTGCCCACTATCAAGCAAGTTAAAATGAAAAAAAAAAGAACCAAAAACGTGCTAAACCTCAATTACACATTGCATTACACCCTTTTTCCCATTTCAAGTCAAAGTCACTTCCAATAGAAAGAAAAACCCTCAAGTCATCTACACTATTTTGCCCTATTCCTTCCCAGTTTATTCCTTCTTATATTGTTATTTTCCTCATATTCGTACATAACGACATTGACTGATGAATCGTAAAAAGTCAAATCAATAAAGCCGGAGTTGCGGTCAATTTGGCAGATCGGTTCCCCGACAAACATCACTTTTTCTAAGAGGAAAGGGGAGCTTGAAATTTTTCTTGAAGGCAAACGCCTCGAGACCATTTTAATACATGGACTCAGTTACTCAATTTCGAGTTCTCTTTCTTTCGTTTCTCATTTTTTTATATACATCATGGGAGCTTCAATATCTCGACGTAGTAGAAATCGATCATCACGAGGCAAACGTACATCCGACCAACGAGATACGTGCAGTCATTCGTCTATCAGCCCTTCCGTCAAAGGTACTACCATTCACGGTAGGGTATACCATGATGTGGAGTCGAGCGTGTGTAAGTTTCCAAATTGAACTTGCTTTATATCGCCTTACCAAGATATTATAGACGACTGAATTCTCCACCAACTTATAGACTTCTTCCCCATGGACGAAATCGAACAGGACCGATTGCACGGAGTAAGCATGGCTTTCTATTTTAAAAAAAAATTTCTATCGGCGCACGGATGATGACAGGTTTTTTTTTCCTATTACTCAATGAAATTAATTATTCGTTTTACCGTTCTAGCAACACTTTGGCCTGAAGGCGCTCTTCAATGGGAATTTACTTGCTCCCGTGCGAGATGCTGTGGACCTTGAAAATCACTGTCACGTACTGGATGTTGGTTGCGGTCCTGGTAGCTGGTTACTAGACCTTGCGACGTCTCATCCTAACTCCAAGTTTGTCGGTGTGGATATCGTTGATATGGTAGGGCTGCACACGGTGTGACAAATCTAGCCTGAATATTTCTGACCTTTCCGTTCTCATGTATTATCCCTTGTCCGCTTGCTTAGTTTCCGTCCACGATCAAGCCACCCAACACTGAATTTCATGTCGCCAACATTTTGGACGGTTTGCCCATGTTTGCCGACAATAGCTTCGACTTAGTACAGATGCGATTGTTTGCCTCAGTCCTGAAAGGAGATCAATGGATAAAAACTCTGACGGAGTTGAAGCGAGTGTGTCGGCCAGGTGGCATGATCCAACTGCTAGAAGTGGACTATAAGGTAGGTTTCAATTTAAAAACTCTACAACGTGGGAGTGGAACTAAGGTGAAACACGTTTAATCTAATTCCAATGGGCGTCTGTATGAAAAAACGATAGGTTACCGGAAACCAATTTGTCAACAAGTTCACATCAAAGCGTGAGTTATTGAACACTGCCACACTTTGCAAAATGTACCTCCATCTCATGTGATTTTCCATTAAATTTAGTGGTCAATATTATGGCAAGCAGAGGACAGGATGGCGAAGCAGCCAAGAAATTGGCCCCCATGTTGACTCAGGCTGGTTTCATAAATCCACATACAGACCATCGACCAATAGCTGGTGGTAAGTGACGGACTTGGGTGCATTTTTACACAGACGAGTGGCTAATTCCTCATACTCGGTAGGTTGGGATGGAGCTTTGTCTCATGAAATATGGTTGGATATCAAAAACGCCATGTCGGCAGCAGCGCCCATTGTTGCCCCAGGCTATGGGATGGATGCGGCTGGATACCTGGCGTATTTGAACGAAACTTTGGAAAATGTTAGGGATCACGGCTCTTACTTTAATTGGTGGGGATGCTGCGCTCAAAAACCAATCGCTTAACAGTATACCACATAGATGTTAAAACCAAATAACGACTCTCTCATTTCACCCCCACGCCTTGAGCATTCTCACTTCTTACTAAAAAGTACCTAAGCTTTTCCTTCACTACTAATAATCTATTCTGTGCCATAAAGAAAAAAAACAATAGCTTCCAACTTCGTACAATTTGTCCAACGTGATGCCGTTTTCGTTGCTCACGCACGTGTCACGTTATTACTCATTGTGCGTGGGCAAAACAATGTCGGGTGAAGGGAATCAACGTCACTAATAAGATGGCAATGCATGAGTGGGATTATTATGCACCGATTTTCCAACACCACCATGACAAGTTAGGTATATCCAAGTTTGCTTATGCTTTAATGTTTCTGCTGGTTTGAAAGATTAGCATTACCTATCAACTCCCCCCTCGATCACGAGCATAAGGGGACCTAAGGCGGCGCTATGCTGTTGTTTATGCACAAGCTGCTTTGCAGTAGCCTGAGGGGATGTGCCTTGGCCCACATCCAACTGAGGAGTGCTAGTATTAAAAAAGCACTTTCGTACATAAACATGGATGCAGATAAGAAAAAAACAGTGGAGAGAACGGACAGTGCGCTCTGGCGTCTCTTGACCGAATTGCAATCATGTCTTTGAAAATGGTATTAATTTTTTTTCTCTTTCGTTGCTGGCTGTTTCTCATTATTAAAATAGTGTTTTATGAGGTGATTCTCCCCACCATGATCCCATATCGATTAGATGAAACATAGTCGTACCAACCCATGTTTTCTTAGGTCAGCTCCCGGCATAAATCTATTGAATGCTTTTCTTAGAGAAGCACATGCAACTTGGTCATCCATGGAAAGCAATAGACCCCATGAGGCGATATTTGAGCCGACGCAGCATGACAATCACAAGCAGCTACTTTGCCTGTCAATGACCTTGACGGAAATTGTAAAATTTTAAGTGGGCGTGAGGTGATGGGCATCAGATTACGACGAAGATAAGCGAAAAACTTTGATTAGTTTTTTATCCCCAGGATTTTTTTTTCTCATATGGACGTATTTATAATATTGTGTGATAACGCATTTTTCTTAGAATATATAAAAACCTACCACTTCCGCTCTTCCATACCGTACCTTTTTTGTTTTATTTTGCTCATTCTCTTGCACTCTTCCTTTAAACACAATGAGATTCAACCTAATTGTCCGTCGTCCTGCTGCCATGGTTCTTCGACGTAACTCTTCGTCCATTGCATCAGCGGTGGTTACCACCAAGGTAAAATATCAGGTTACTAGCCAGCCTTACGATAGCCCTTCTAGCACCAACGACGTTGTGAATGGAGAATTCTGGGCAGGCGAGCCTGGTCTGAAGAAGCAACGTGAGGAAGCCATCTACAAAAGCTCGGATGCGCGCCCCACTTTGGATCTGATGGCTCGTGCTCATCACATCAATGCCACTCAGAACGATGCCTGAAGCTCACAGCTGTGAAGGACAAAGCCAATGGCAAAAAGCCATCGTTCCACAGCAGCCCAAAAAAAAAATTTCACCGCTTGAACGTAGAAAGCACTCAAGCGTAGGTGAAAAAAAAATTCCCCCCTCCTCATTTAACATGATCAGTCTGTACATCCCGTTTTTTTTTTCTCCATTCATATTCTGCATTGAATATCGCCTGGTTTGCGATTATCTTTTTTTTTTTTAAAAAAAAAAAGTAACATATACATACTTCCATTTTGAACAAAGTATCTTGCGTGACGTCGTTTTTGTCCATTTACCATTTTTGGGCCAAGTGCCACCGCACATCATTGGGATAATTGATTCCCCGACATTAAGGTGAAAATTTGAGCATGATGGGCAAAAACAAATACCTGGTTGGTAAGGTGGATGGCGGGAAGAAGGTTTTTACGGTTACTATGGTACACAAAGCAGTGAACAGCGTGTTGAGGTTACAGCATTTCATATGTCATCTTCAATTAAAAAAAAAAAATAGCACTCGCACACAATTATACGGTGTGCAACAACGATTGGGGTTCCACCCACGTTCATTTTGACAAAACGAGGTAAGCTGCAGTTATTCGATCCCTTTCGTCCCTTTTTTCCACTTTCTACGGCCTTTCACTTGAATTTGGACTTGCCTCTAAAAAAGTCAAACTACACAACGTTAATACGCTCCCTTTTTGCAACCCTAAAACCCCCGCTTGTTCTTCTGAAACACCTTCAGCGCCCGTGTTCTGCGATTTTTTTTTTTTGATATTTTATTTTAGTTGGTTTTATTTTTTCAGCTGATCATTTTCACAATCATTGGCAACATTTCATTCCATCCCTAATGGCTGGTCTTGAAACCGTTTATGCCGTCCACAACTTTGAAGCTGAAAACCACGACGAGATTGCATTCAAGGTCGGGGAACCGATCATAGTATTAGAAAAAGACGAGGAATACAAGGATGGTTGGTGGCAGGTATGTGGACGACACACCCTTTTGTTTTTGTATACGTCAATAGCCAGCCAGTCTCACCATGCAACTTCGTACATAGGGTCAGAATGTGAAAGGCGAAATCGGACTGTTTCCAATGAATTATACGTCTTACACCATGCCCTCCTCGAAGCAGACCAAAAAATCAGCATCGTCTCAACAGCCCGCCTTATCCCAGAAAGGACAAACGGCGCCGTCATCGTTGGAGCACAAAATGGATTCGCTTCAAAGTACCATCACACAGTACCTTCCATCTCAGTCCACGCCCACCACCTCGCCTCAGCCAGCTATGCCAAAGCAAGGCCGGGAAAGAGCGAATTCTTCTGCGTCAGTTGGTTCGAACCACAGAAGTCCAGGTAGTGTTGGTAGTAACCAAGGCAATAGGACACATCAAAAGATAAATGATGCCATGATGATGCCCAGCCTTAGAGATACAGCCCCTGAAGACTGGGACATTGATCAAGTAGGTGACTGGTTAGACGCCATGAGTTTTTCACAAGATCGACAGACTTTCAAAGGTGGGTGGGGGTTTATTTTTGCACCCTGTGTCGTCGAGGAATGTTGAAAATTAAACACATATCTAGATCAAGAGATTTCTGGTGATATTCTATTGGAATTAACAGTGGATGCTCTTAAGGAACTCAATGTGAATACGTTCGGAAAGCGATTCAAAATGATAAACGCTATCAATTACCTTAAACAACAAAATTCCGCTCAAACACGCACATCACAAGATTTTGATGAAGAAGAGGATATATTAGCACGTGAAGAAGAGCGATTAGAGCTAGGAGACGAAGAAGAGGATATGATAAGAGATATAAGACCCCCACCTTCAAATGTCGATGCCAGTCGATCGATTCCTCCATCCCAGAAACACCAATACTCCAACAGTGTCAGCTCCGATAGAAATAATACCAGATCGCCTCATCCAGGCAATATGGAAGATGATGTCGTATCCAACTATAGTTCAGTGGTGCCATCAAGGTCACTGACTCACTCTCAATCGGTTCATCATGTGGATCGATCGGCATCTCCCAGTCTTAGTCGATCACGGACTGTGGCAGCTGCTCCTAATGCACCAACTCAGAATATGCCTGGACAAGACGCAAACCCTCGCCAGCAGCGAAATGTAGTCTATTCTCCGCGACTGGGTAACGCCCAACCCAGCCTTGCGCATGTATGGGACAATGAAAACCAGGAATCCTCGTCCAAAGGTGATACGTATAAGCCACGCTCTCCTCCTACCGCTGCTGCAATGGCATCATCTCCTCCTGCAAACGGTGTTAGACGACAAGGCTCCATCATGACCAACAACAAATCCAACATCAACACCCCCGCTCCCATCAATAATGGTAACACCTCACAACCTTTTCGACCAGAGCACCAGCCTTTTGAAAAGAGAGGATCGCTTATGCCACAACCAAAGCCACAAGGCATTCTTCCTGTGGCGACTCGATATTCCGTTGACAGTCAGCGAGGCATGAACGACATGACGCCTGATATGGAAGGTTGGCTGCACAAGCAAGGCGACAAGTACAAGACATGGAATAAACGGTGGTTTGTTCTCAAAGGTGCCAACCTCTTTTATTTCAAAAGTCCTCGCGATATTAGAATGAAAGGCATCATCAATTTGCGTGGATATCGAGTCATCAGCGATGATTCCATCTATGCTGGAAAATGGTGCTTTAAAACGCAACATGAACGTGAACGCACCTTCTACTTTTACTGTGATACCGAGGAAGGCATGCGTGAGTGGGTCAAGGCACTTATGAAAGCCACCATTCTGCGAGACTACAATGGTAAGCAATCTGTGAGGGGGTTTTTTTTTTCGAGAACAGCTGGCTGGGCCATGAACTCCCTTTCTCAAACTTAAAAATATCCTCTGTACTAATATGCCACCTCTCCTTTGCCTTTAAATCTATTCTCGGTTTTTCCGCCACATAGCGCCTGTCTTGTCTTCAAGCAACATTCACACAGTCACCTTGGAAACTGCTAGAAAGATGCGACCTCGCCCTCCTTCTGTCATCTTTGGAAAGAAGAGCCCAGAAGATAAAGATCCTCTTTCTTCTCCAGGAAATCGAGCCACTAGTCCTAACAGAGCACGATCCCCTGTACAGGCCATCCCAAACGGACCGGTACAACCACCTCCTAGAAACATGGTATCACCACCACTTCAAACTAGGGAGTCTGGGATAGGAGTGTACAGCCCACCACTCACCTCCACTAAATCGTATATGCCAGAGGAGCGAGTGAAGAAGGATAGTGGATACGACCAGTTGGTACCAACTAATCGCTCACCTATAGTGCCTTACTTTGGCGACCCTGACGATGAAGATTTGATTGACCCTGCCCATGGCGAAGTCATCAAGTCGAACCGATCTAAGAAGGCTGTGGCTGCGGCTCAAAGATTTATCGACGAAGATGAAGATGATGTTCTTCGGGAGCATAACCCAAGGTCCTCACTGGCGATGAGCAACGCCTCCGATAACCCACTTTGGACTCCTAATCAATATGTTGAATGGGTGAATGAGCGACTTGTTACTAAGAATAAGACCATCAACGATCTCAGCAGCGCTTTCCGTAGTGGCGATACCCTTATTCTGTTATTGGAAGCTGTAAGCGGCAAAGTGGTTAGACGGCCCCCTGTGCAAAAGGGCGGAAGTGTCAGCATGGCCATGCTTGATAACATCGTTGCTGCATTCAAGTTTATGGGCCGTGAAGGTGTGATTGTAGATGGCCGATATACAATTAAAGGTAAGGCGCGCAATGGATAAGATGATCCCTATTGGGTTTTTAATGCGGTGTTCAGAAACACGTATTGACATGCTCTTTCTTATCCAGACGTTTTTGGTGGAAATGAAGTGAAAATTATGGAAATGCTAGATGCTATTCGAAGCTGGGCAAATGAGAAAGGCTATCTTCATGAAGATGCTTTGGAAGGTCCCTCTGACTTGGGCATAAACGACAACAATATCAACAACACTAACAATAATCAACTTCGTCCACTCAGTCTCATTGAGGAACCCTTACCTAGTGGTCGAAGCACACCCAAGAAAGTCGCCAGCGGCGGAACTTTCGGCTCGGAAAACGAAGAAAAGTTGAAAATGGTCGGCGAAGACGATAGGGAATAATAATCTAATCCTGCTGAAACACATTTTTTTTTTTTTACTTTTTTTGTTTTTGTAATACTACCTTACCTTACTACACCTTTTTTCCTCCTTTCTTACTATCTTTTGTTTTATCATGGTTATTGAATAGTGTCTCTTACTTGCATCTCTTATTTTTCATACATTCATTCATCCTTTATTTGTTGTTTTTTTTAAAAAAAAGGAAAACCTCCCATACTGCTTTGTGTGGTAAAATGCTCCCTTTGTGTGCATTTAGCAGCCTACAGTCAACGATCCTGTAATTTAGTGACATGTACTGCGAACCTTTCTATAATTATAACAACCCATATCAACATACTCAGTGTTCCATATCGTTTCTGCTTGATGCGGCTATTCACTACTCTATCACAAGGAACTGATGTGAATTGAATAAAAATGTATTCCAGAGAAATAGTACATGTAGGTGAAAAATAAATTAAAAAATCATGAAAAAAAATAAAGGGTATAAATTCACTAGATATGTGCAACTGAGTCGATTAAACAACGAAATATTTTGAATATACACAAGCAAAGATATAATGTAATATGGATTCGATAGGAATGGAAGTGATGATGAACAATGATAAATATGTAAATGTAAGTCCTCTCTGGTTGAGAGGATGAAGCAAACTTGCAATTGCGTAGAACGTTCGTCTGAATAGCAGCGTTTGCTTCGACTGGGACAATCTCCTCATACCATGTCTGGTGTGTCAACCATCCGCCTTATTATTGACCCGCCTTTCAAAATAAAAAGATCGCTTCCAATGTTGTCGTCCCTACGCCTTGCCCTCGTCTGTACTGGATTCACATAGTCGCCTGTTGTCCACTACATGCCTTCCTTGCCATCATAGTGTACATCAGGCTGCGGCTCCTTGCCTTGCCTGTTTTTCTTCCAGCCATGCTTTCCACTCTCCTCACTATGATCATCGTATTTATCTTCTTGGTCGTCGTCGTCGTCATCGTAGTCGTCTTCATCGTATTCACCATGTTTATGACTGCGATCTTTACCAGCATGGCTTTCCTTGCATTCCTCCTTATTCCTGTTTGTGCGTTGATTGCAGTCAATTGTAGAAGATGGGGTAGTCATCGCGTGATCGGATAATGTCTCGGTCAATGAATCAGTACATGTTGTGCTTGTAGGGGTATATTTTGTTATCCTGGTGGCTGTTGGAGTGTCCAATGTGGTGGTATCGATAGAGGAAGTGGGCCAAGTTGTTACATCATCCGTGCACGTTGTACTAGTAGAATGCGTTGTCCGACTTGACACAAGGCTTGTCTTGAACTTTACCACTGGATGACTGAGTGTCTTGCTCGCAGAGGTTGAAGATTGCATTTTTGTCGCTAAGCTTGTGGAAGTCGACGTGCCGGAATACTTAGATGTGCTTTTGCTAGTCACTGTAATTGAACTGGATCTTTCCTTAACACAATTGGGACAAAGGGAACTAGTAGATAGAGTGCCATTGAAGGTTGTGATGGTGTCAACTTTTTTGGTGATGGTTTTCGTCATGACTTGAGTGGAGGAGGCTGAACCTCGGGTGGTTGAAAAAATCGAAGTTACTGTTGTAGCCGTTGGTACTGGTGTTGAAGTTATGCTAGGGCTGACGGTGGTTACCAAAGTTGGGGTGGAAATGCTAGCCTTCGTAACTACCGTTATGGAAAAAGTTGTAGCGGTGCTGGTAATCCATGGCGTGCTTTGGGCAACAGACATCCTGCTGGTGCTAGAATTGGAGGCATTTCTCATACGTGGTAGCTGGCCCATGTCCTCTTGATTTTTTGCACTTGATATGGTGCTGAATGTTGTAGTTGTTGATTTGCTGACATATGTCGTACTCGCACTAGCAGGGGTTGTAACACATGTGGGACATGAGGTCCTTTTTTTTCATAGAAAATAAAAGGAAGAGAAAAGCAGTGGTTAGTAGCCAGCATGAAATGGGGAATTTGCAAGAATTTGTAAAAAATATACCTAGAACTTGCCATTGACGGTGGATAATGAGTACTATCGCCTTGCGTAGTAGTAGTGGGAGATACAGTATTCAATGGTAATGTACTAGTGGTCATCGGTTCGGTTGAGGTAGTTCCAATGGAGCTGCTGTATTGGCATGTAGGGCAGACCGTTGTGGTGTTTACTTCGGAAGAAGTGGTGGTAGGAGATACAGTATTCAACGACGGCATCGTACTCATTGTGCTTGATACAGATGAAGTAGTTCCTAGAGAACTACTATATTGACAGGTAGGACAGATCGTTGTGGTGCTTTCTTGTGAAGTAACGGTGGTAGGAGATACAGTATTCAGCGACGATAGTGTACTCGAGGTGCTGAATAAAGTTGATGTAGTTCCTATAGCACTGCTGAATTTACATGTAGGACAGATCGTTGTGGTGCTTCCTTGTGAGTTAACGGTGGTAGGAGGTACAGTATTCAGCGACGATAGTGTACTCGTGGTGCTTGGTACAGATGAAGTAGTTCCTATAGAACTGCTGGATTTACATGTAGGACAGACCGTTGT